AACTCTTCGCCAGTCACAGAGCAAAGTAAACAAGGTTTAGGAGGACATAACCTGCGGAAACCCAGCTTCCTTCCCTTTAATTACCCTTCTGCCTTCACCGATGGAACGGAAGTTATTTGTCTGAGGCTAACATCACCGGAAGCTCTGCTGGCCTATTATAATGACTGGATGTTACTGATGGCAAACCCCCAGCCACCCCAAAAGACCAGACAGGAATGAAAAGTGCTTTGCGCGATGATTTCAGCACATAAACAGTTTGTGCAGCGTGCTGGAAAGAGGAATGTCAGCCCTGGAACCCCCTCCTTAGGAAAGGACACCCTGGCAAGTATTAGAGGTAGAGTTCCCAACCTCCAGGGGGTGATACAAACATGAGATCATAGGGTGGGTCGTAAGTAAACAAAAAACAATCGTGCTATTATTATGCAATCTATTCCACCATAATTATTAAGCCTTTATATTATGGTACAAATCACAAAACACATTCCAGTACAAAATACACAAACATTTCAAGTGCCCTTGTAAACCAAACCGTCTGTGCTCAAAGTTCCTCTGTATAATACAGCTCAAAGTCGCTTTACACAGTCCTTCTTTGATATAAAGGTAAAGGTAAAGGTTCCCTTGCTCGAAAGCCAGTCGAGTCCGACTCTAGGGTTGCGGTGCTCATCTCCGGTTCAAAGCCGAAGAGCCAGCGCTGTCCAAAGACGTTTCCGTGGTCATGTGGCCGGCATGACTAAACACCAAGGCGCATGGAACGCTGTTACCTTCCCACCGAAGTGGTACCTATTTATCTCCTTGCAATGTCTTGCTTTCGAACTGCTAGGCTGGCAGGAGCTGGAACTAGCGACGGGAGCTCACTCCGTCATGCGGCGCACTCGGGTCTTGAACTGCTGAACTACCGACCTTCCACAGCCTGTAGTTCAGTGTCTTAACCACTTGAGCCACCCCAGCTCCTTCTTTGATATAGATGTAAATTATTCCAGATATTGGATCAACTGTCGTGGCTCTGATGGGCCAGCTCCACACCTGTGTTCGGTCCTTTATCAAGGTACTGCGGCAGTCAAAAGTTTTTTCTCTCTGCATTGTTCAGTCTGTTTTGAGGAGCGTTTTACACTGCAGACCTTCACCTTGACATCTACTTTTGTACCATAATATAAATGCTTAATAATTATTATTGAATAGATTGCATAATATCACTGTTGTTTTTTGTTTACTTACAACCTCCAGGTGGTGGCTGGAGATATCTTGTGATTACAACAGGTTTTCAGGTTTTCAGCCAACTACACTGCTGAATTACTCTTACCTACCATATGGTACAGTATAGATCTCTCACTGCATCAGGGCAGGGGTTGATTGACAAAGTTCCTATGCCTTCTTTGTATGGTAGTGGGTGGAAAGTGTCATCAAGCCATAGTCAGCTTATTGAGATCCCGTAGGTTTTTTTTTTTTAACGGATAATTTTTATTCCTTTTCATAAACAGCAAAAATTTACAAGGTAAGCATGAACGTAGTCAGCTCTCAGTGGTTTCATACATTTCGTACAGTTTGTCGGTATTATACAGTTTGAAAATTACCATAGATGCAGAGTGTTTATTACATCAGGTTCTGTTTCTTTGGTAGATAGATGTACTAGTATGGGGTACCAAATACATACAATGTCATTCTGACCACCTCTAGATAGATTTCATAAACAGCAAAGATTTACAAGGTAAGCATGAGCGTAGTCAGCTCTCAATGGCTTCATACATTTTGTACAGTTTGTCGGTATGATACAGTTTGAAAATTACCATAGATGCAGAGTGTTTATTACATCAGGTACTGTTTCTTTGGTAGACAGATGTACCCAAGAGTATAAAAAATGGAAAGAAGCAGGTCTAACAACACTAGAAGACCTGACATTAATCCCGTAGGGTTTTCAAGGCAAGAGACATTCAGAAGTGGTTTGCCTGTCTCTGCGTAGCATCCCTGGCATTCTTAGGTGGTCTCCCATCCAAGTAGTAACCAGGACGGACCCTATTTTAGCTTCCAAGCTCCAATGAGATCAGGCTAGCCTGCGCCTTCCGGTTCTGGGCATTCTCTGTATGTCTGCTGTATGTCTGCTGGTATAGGAACAAAGTTCCTATGCATTCTTTGTATTGACAAAGTTCCTATGCATTCTTTGTATTGTTATCTTGCCCAACCTCGCCCAGGGCATCATATGCAGTCCTGTCCCTCCTCCATTTCCTTCACAAAAAATTTAGGTGGAGAGAGCGCCTAGTCCAAGGTTAGTCAGTGAAATTCATGGCGAGTGGGGTCTCGAACTCAGATTCCTCCTAGTCCACATTCAACACATTAACCAGAATTCCACACTGACTCTTTGGAATTGTCCTAAGTCCACTGCTTAAGCCATGTCTGTGTAATGGGACAGGATCCAGTAAACTGTACATTTTGGAGACACGATGCATTCTGTGCCAAACAAACAAATAAGGGTTGCCAACCTCCAGGTGGGGAGCTGGAGATCTCCTGGAATTACAGCTGAAGTCCAGATCATAGAAATTGGTTCCCCCATGAGAAAATGGCACCTTCAAAGGGCAGAGTCAATGCTATACCATAGATTCCAGGCGAAACCCCTCCCCCAGTTCCCGTCTCCACAGGCTCCACCTCCAAATCTCCAGGAATTTTCCCACTGGGAATTGGCAACCCTAAGAAAAGTATATGTGGAATGATTGAGTTTGGCACCCCTCTATGGTGCCAGGCAAGCAAGCACAACTTGAAAAGTCTGCAAGGAATGCCCTTGCACAATGGCGCCTGAAAACTGCAGAATTTAGGGGTCCAAAAATCTGCCGCAGAACTGCCACAAGACAGCTAAGCAATGAAAAGTTCAGAGGTTACACAGCTGAGATGGAAGGTTTCCAGTGGTTAAGGACAGCCTAAAGGCTGAGAAGAAGCAACCTGCTAATATGGCTACACTGACAAGAGTTCACAAGTTCATTCTTGGCAGCCCCTCTGAACGAACTGTCCTGAAAGGGGAAGGATTTGAACTGTCCTCTGAATGAACTGTCTTGAAAGGGGAAGAATTTGCTAGGAGCAAAGAGAGTAAGTAACCTATGATCAGACTGGCTGAGGTGTCTAAGGATCTCATTCCACATGATTTGGGGAGAGGGATAGCATTTATACAAAGTAAAGACTGGAACAGAACATAGAAGAGGAAATGCTACTTAAAGCAACGTGCAAAGGTAAGCAGGAGGATGGAGAAACTGGACTAACTGTGAATGGGGAAATTAATCTTAAACCTTTGTTAGCTATTTGTGGTTATTAATCAGAAGCATGTTGCTGGTTTATGCGGGGATCAGCCTGCTTCAGGAAGGCCGTTCAACGGAACTTTTGATATGCTTATTTAAAGGAATCAAAATACTTTGCTTTCCGTTTGATCAATGGAAGCTCAAAGCACTTCAGGATGGGAGATTCCATGCCAAAGAATCAGGTGCCATCCATGGCTCCTGTGCTTGCCAACACAGAAAAAGCAAAATGAGGCACAACTATGGATGCCTGCTTTTCCCCTACCCTCCCTGAAAAGGCCTAACCTGTGTTCTCTGCCACTGACATGAGCAGCCTGATGCACTCAGTGAGTACCATGGATGTTTGTGGATGAGGCAACATAATGCGCCTGCCTGCATTTTCCTTGAGTACTGCGGGTATTGGAGTAGTGTGCTACCTGCTTCATAAACTGGTTTGGTTTGATTTGCAAAGTTAATCAGTAGTGTGCATGATTTGTCTTGCTCCCAGTTAGTTTCCCTAGTGTAGGCATCACATCCACACTCATGTAAATAGTTTGCATTTTATGCTCAGTATGGCCATTTCTGTACAGTTTCCCCCCATCCCCAATCCTCACACAGTTATTCCATCCTCACAAAGCTATTCTAGATCCAGCAAGAAGAGGGTTTTGTAATGGATATACATGATGGAGGTATTTAATAAGGACAGGTGCCTGATAACGGGTTGGACCCAGACTAAAATATTTATTTATTTATATTATTTATTTATTTTTCATATTTGTATCCCGCCCTCCACCAAAGGCTCAGGGCGGCTCACGAGGGCAAGGTAAAAACCGAGCCATAAATAAAACATGGTACATAATAAAAACATCCAACATTGTTAAAAACAGTGGTGCTCAATCAATTACTAGTATCGTGAATCCAAGATGAAGCAACTCAGTTCAGATGGTACATCCCATATTATGCCTAAGCGGAGACAACTTATCAGATCTTCTAAACATTTCCAGGTTCTTCCTCAGGGCCTCGTCAGTGCATCCTTTAAGGTACCCTGACGGTGATGGCATAGTGGGGCGGTGGCTCCTACTCAAAGGCCTGGCGGAAGAGCTCCGTCTTGCAGGCCCTGTGGAACTGCATATGGTCCCGGATCTCCCCCGGGAGCTCATTCCACCAGGTAGGAGCTGCCACCAAAAAAGCCCTGGCCCTGGTCCCAGCTAATTTGGCATCCTTGGGGCCCGGGATGACCAACAAATTTTGGGGCCCCGACCGTAGTGCTCTTGGGGGAACATGTGGGGAAAGGCGGTCTCTCAGGTAGCAATTTCCACTGATTCCCCCTTCTTGCTGCAGATCACCCCTCCTCCGTCATTCCCCAAGGTCCCCTATCCCCAGTGGAGACCAGTGGGCTGCGGTTGTGGGGGAGTTCCATTCTGCCATTAAAAAAATTGTTTAGATCAAACCCTACAAGCTTCCATTTGGCTGAAAAGCACCCTCGTTTCATGATGTACAGAAAGAGAAGCAGAGATGGATTGGGGGGATTTTTATTATTGCCAAAGTTACACATATATACAGCAAACTACAAAAATATCTATAGCTATCTATATTTATTTATTTAGTTATTTAGACATTTGTACCCCGCCCTCCCCGCGAGTGGGCTCAGGGCGGCTTACAAGGGGCATACGCCCATACATAAAACCAGATAAAACAATAAAATCATGGATAATAACAATAATAAATAAATACATATATCAGGTTGTAAATTAATTGCCTGATTTTCACGTTCATGTTGAAGAGTGATCAGGAAGCTTCATGGAATGTCCGCAGGTATTTGGAGCAGTGCTTCAGCCTCCTCTTGTAAAGACGCTGCCTTTTCAGCCAGGTGCATCTGCATCCCAAAACAACATCTGAGGTCAAATTATTCTGATATTACAACTTCCTGGATGCACTAAGTGCATTCCCCAAGATGAAGACTCAAAAGCAGGCACACAAACTAACCTGATCTTTGTGAAAAGCGAAATACAAGCAGCGTCCCAAATTCCACCGTGTTATATAATATGGTTGATGGAACGGGCTATCCACATAAAGGGACAGACCTCTGCAGACAGGAGTAGGTGGGCTGGCCTTTATTCACAAGGATTTGACAAATGGGCTGTGGGCGAATGCCCATACGCCAAGATGCACTGTAGCCCCTGGGGGTCTTTGCAATACACAAGCTCTTCTCTACACGCACTCTAACCATTTCTACAATGGGAGTATTGTAATATAGGTAATTCATCACAGGTAACATTTCCCCAAAGAGGAAGGCAGTGGGGTAAATGCGAGGAGTCCACTGCGAAAAGCTGGAAGCCTTTCTCCATCTGAAGTGGTTTTTATTCCAATGGAAGAGCCACTTAGGTTGGAGGAAAGCTTCCTACTTTGCTCCGTGGATAGGCTTAGGTCTACCCCAGTCTCTTTTCCAATCCACCGTTTGTGGCAGCATAGCAGGGCTTCCTTGGTTTCTTTGCCAGCCAGGAGAACATGACCTCGGCATAAAGCAAGGCTACCCTGCTCCGAGTATCCAGGCAAAGATCCCTCATTAACTTGGGTGCTCATAATGCAGCTGTATTCCAAAGAGGATCAGGATTCACCCGCACTTCCTATTTACCCTCCAGATCCGCTGAAAACCTTTCCCAGCTAGAAAGCGTTGAGTTTGGGGCTTTTCACAGAAAATCTCGCTCACCTTTGCAGATGAAACTATTTGTCGAGCCTGACGTCTGGACAGATGCTCAATAGTCTTCACCAGCACTTCTGGATTTGCATTCGCCAAGTGTGCTAGCGTTTTATACCCTGTGTTGTAGAGTTGCTTGGCTCGGGCCTGCAAAAAGGGCCAAAACGCTCATTAAAGGCGACAGGAAGCAGCATCCCCCAATGATAGCACCGGGCTTCCGAACCCCCACCTCTTGTATTTCTAGCCATCCCACTTCTGCTACTCTGGCTGGGACACTGAATGCATTTCATGCAGATTACTATGGCAGAACTCCACTGGCAGAAATAACTGCCTCTTCCTTTTTTTCTTTCGTCTTGCACACTAAGAACTGGAATAATACAGACAGCTGCTTCCTCTCCTTTCACGGTCATAATTCTCTCGGTTCTCACTAGCCTCAGTGAAAAGCTGTAATATTAAACAAGCTTTGGATTCTTTGGAAATGCTTGGAAACAGAGTGTTGCTTTAATAGTCAGGGCTCTTGAAAATCATTATTCTGTTATCCAGACATGAATGTTTAGCATTGTGGAATGAGTTAGATCGGAGTCCAGTAGCACCTTAGTGACAACAAGAGTTTCAGAGTGTAAGCTTTCGAGAGTCAGAGGTCCCTTCATAGGACTCAGTAGAACAGAAGTGGGCTCTGAGTCCTAGTTAGAAGGTGGGCCAGGGGACAGAGGGTGGCGATTGGGGACCAGCGGTCCCGAAGGCACCCCCTTGAATGTGGGGTGCTCCAGGGAGCTGTGTTGTCCCCGATGTTGTTTAACATCTATATGCGCCCCCTCGCCCAGATTGCCCGGAGGTGTGGGCTTGGGTGTCATCAATATGCTGATGATACCCAGCTCTATCTGATGTTGGGCGGCCAGTCAGACTCTGGTCCCGATGACCTTTATCGGGCATTACAAGCCGTGGCTGGTTGGCTCAGACTGAGTTGGTTGAAATTAAACCCGGCAAAGACGGAGGTCCTGGGCCTGAGTCGGACCAGTCTCGGGCTGGGGCTCCCTCTTCCGGCCTTTGACGGGGTGCCTTTGGTGCCTGCGCGGGAGGTTAGGAGTTTGGGTGTGCTCCTGGACTCCTCGTTAACGATGGAGGCCCAGGTGGCAGCCACTGCCAAGTCGGCCTTTTATCATCTGTGGCTGGCTTGGCAGTTGGTCCCCTACCTCGACCGTGAGGACCTGGCCACTGTGATCCATGCGACGGTCACCTCGAGGCTAGACTACTGTAACGCTCTCTACTTGGGGCTGCCTTTGTCGCAAATCTGGAAGCTGCAGCTAGTGCAGAATGCTGCACCTAGGCTGTTGATGGGCCTCTCTAGGCGAGACCACATCCGGCCGGTGCTGCAAGCGCTGCACTGGCTGCCGATAGCATACTGGATTCGCTTCAAAGTGCTGGTTCTTACCTTTAAAGCCCTGAATGGCCGGGGTCTGGCTTACCTAAGGGACGGCCTCTTCCCGTATGTTCCCTCAAGAGCACGATCGGGGAGCCTCCACTTCCTGGAAGTTCCAGGCCCACGAGACGTTAAGTTTGCCCAAAGTAGGGCCAGGGCGTTTTCGGTGGTGGCTCCTACCTGGTGGAATGAGCTCCCGGAGGAGATCCGGGCCCTGCGGGACTTTATACTGTTCCGCAGGGCCTGCAAGATGGAGCTCTTCCGCCAGGCTTTTGAGTAGGAGCCGCCGCCAGTATTCCACCACCGTGGTACTGTTCCATCATCTACCCCTATTATGGGGGGGTATGTGTCGCCTGGCGGAAGTGGGGAGAACATCACTGCTGGAGCCCTCGCTATTTAATAAAGCTAGCCGTCAATTTGGGATTACTGTCCATCATGGGGATTTATATACAGGATAATAGAGCACCTTAAATACTGTTATGAATTTTATTGTGGATATGTAATATTGTCTTATTGTATTTTATTTATTTAATGTGGCATTAGCTGCTTGTTAGCTGCCCTGAGCCGCTTGGAAGGGTGGGATATAAATCTCAAATAAATTTTTTAAAAATTAAATAAATAAAGCATATTTGTTAAGGATGTGAAGGTACAATGTGTGTTGTAATCAGCTTGATTAGAGCAAAGGGGAATGCTTGGGGGTAAAACATTCGCATCTGTACTGAGATAAAAATCCTATGTCCCTATTCAGCCCTGGGGGATCCATTGTTCTGAACTTGGGAATTAATTCGAGCTCAGCGATCTCACACTGTAATTTGCCTTTGAAATTTCTTTGTTAGAGGACTGCTGCTCTTAGGTAAGCAATGGAATGACCTGGAAGATTAAAATGGCTTGCTTCTTATATGAATGCAAAGTTATAAATAATAGGTAAGTCTAAATAGTTTAGCTTTTGTTCCTGTAGAATATTTAAATTCCATTCAGCTACGTGTGGAGGCCTTTATGCTGTAATGTTGACAGTTAACTCTAGGGAAATAAATACAGAGGAAGACTTGCTAAGAATATCCTTCTGAGGAAGATTAACCACAAAACAGTCTTACATCTGGACACCTGTTGGTTCATTAGAGAAGCAGCTCTGTTACATACTGTTACATACTACTGTCACATTGGCCCTGATAAGGCGATTTTACTTGAACTCTTAGGACCTAAACTGGAAGGTACGTATTGGTACTATCAAGCCGATTACAATATGCACTGTACCTTTGCATCATTTACAGCACCCCACCCACCTTCTGACTGGGATAAAAGGTCTCAGATCTACACTTCTGTTCTACTGTGTCTGAGGAAGGGAACTTTAACTCTCAAAAGCTTAGAGCCTAGAGCAAATCAGGACCGTAGCTAGGATTTTTTAATTCAGGGGGCCTCTAAATAAGTCAGCCCCCCCCCCCAATGGAGTGCCAAGAATAAAATAAAAAAATTGGAAGTTGGGGGCCCTGGGCTGGATGGGAAGTCAGGGGGGCCTTGGCAATAAGTCAGGGGGCCAGGCCCCAAGATGCCCCATGGTAGCTACGGGCCTGACTCAAATATAACTGCTCTACTGCAGATCAACACAGCTTCTCTCTGAAACCATCTCCACTGTGGAATAAGATTATGGAGATATCTGTACAGAGGAGACATGCAGAAACATGATCAGGCTGTTTCAGCAAACTTGTCTTTACTTGCCGTTGTATTAAGGCTAAGGATAAAGTAGGCATTTATTATTACAGAACACTTTATCTTTCAACCTTAGAAAGTACTTTTCAGAGCCATCCCTGTTTATTAATTTACATTAGAACTGAAACTTCACATCAACAACAGCACCAAGAAACCTTTTCTATTAATTTCTCTGCCTAGAGATTAAGTTGTCTTGATGTTAGCATTGCCTTTGGAAAAGTACTACACAATAGTAACACCATGCACAGTCCTATGAATTTATCAGAGAGGTGCTGTTACAACAGGTAGAATGTAATCCTTGAAAAAGAGAGAAGAAGAAATTAAAAGAACTTCTTTAGTGCAGCATACAGCAAAAGCAAAGTTTCCAGCGGTCTATAGCCACATTCCATCCTTTTGATTGCAGCAAACATCTATCACCATACGTATACCAACAAAGTAACATATTAATACTAACAAAACTCTCATCAGACAGTGGCAAACTGTCTAACTTACTGCAGTGATGCATTAAAAGAACAACCATACAAAACAGAGGAATTTCTTAGTGGAGCTGAAGGAGCTACACATTTTAGGATGCACAGATATATGCTCCTTCACTTTGACCCAGGGGGTTGCATCTGCTCTCAGGAGTTGCATAATACTCACTTTTGAAGACATTTTAAACATCTTTTACAAATTCTGTTTTGAATTTTTGAAAAGCTGTACTACTCTGTTCTACTGTGAAAAAACTGAATTTTTTGCACAAAAACTCAGAGTTTCACAAAAGTGTTCAGAAATGGACCTCAACATTTAAAGTCTGCTCACCTCCAAAACTCCTGCCACTTCCATAAGAGGAATGAGCTCTGCCTTAACACAGTAGGTCAATTTCTTGCTAAGTTCTGTGAAGAGAGCTTTATAAACCCAAAATTCATCCAGTTCCTGGAAACATAAAGAATGTTAAATATTAAAATACAACACAAATGCTAGAAAATTGCTAGATTTGCTCATCAGTGGTTTGGGAAACTGCTGTGTGAATCCTGGTATATTTCTGGAAGCTAGAATGTTGTATACCAGTTATTGTTATTGTTCACCTGCAGATAAGGTAAAACTTAAGTGTGAACACCCACAGGGTCCAATAACATTGCAAATGGATTACTTGGGCACCGTCTTAAATTGCAATGATTGATGAGGTATCAACAGAAGCAGCTGACACCAACAGATTCTTTCCTGATAATTAACTGATGGCAAAGAGATGGTGGAACGTACATGAAAACACTATCACAACAGAACAGTAAAATGGCTCCTTAGTATCAGTTGAAGGATTTTTCTACACGTGAATTAATTAAAACAGAACACACATGAGTTACTTCTGAAAAAACACTGCTTTGTTCAGTTCTGGCATTAGAAGGGGAAAGCACATTAGACTACCTGGAAAATCTGAATTAAAATTTAAAAAACCCTATTAAAGTAACGTTTTTGTGGCACATGAAAATTTGGAACAGAAAAGAGCAATAGCTTAGTGGCAGAGCAGGGTTTGCATGCATGAGGTTCCAGGTTAATTTTACGGCATCTCAAGACAGCAGGTGGTGGGAAGGAGACATTTCTCTGCATAGTTTCAGAGGGGAGCCATGCTGGTATCTGACAAAGAGAGCTTTGACTCTTGGAAACGTATACCTCAAACACCTTGTTAATCTCTAAGGTGCAAATAAAGGGCTCTTTTTGTAGCATCCTTTGCATATTAAGTGACACACCCCCTAATGTAGCCAATCCTCCAAGAGCTTATAGTAGCTCCTGTAAGAAGAGCTCTGTAAGCTCTTGGAGGATTGGCTACATTAGGGGTGTGTGGCCTAATATGCAAAGAAGTTCCTGCTACAAAAAGAGCCCTGCGTGTCTGCGTGAAACCCTGCAGAGCTGTGGTAGATGGACCGATGGGTCTGATCTTATGTATGGCAGGTTCATATACAGGAAGACCATCAGTTTAGTATTAAACTGACATACGTTACCTCACAGAAATGCAGAACGGAGGAGGAGAACGCAGCCGCCGAATTAAGCAGGGTTTGAACAAATCCACGAGATGCGTTAAATTTTTCTGCCACGCTCCAAATGTTGGTCTCTTTTATTAGAGCATGAAGAATGAAGGACAAGTATAGTTTACCGACGTTGCTGCTATCCACATGCTGAAACCAAAATTAATTTTAATATAAAATTAGAGACGCCGTTGAACGTAAGTCTTTTGCATCTTTCAACGTCCCTGAAAACAATGGAAAAAAGGTACAGTCTTGAATGTATTAATTTCCATGGCTAGCCCAATCTCATTAAATCTTGGAAGCTAAGCAGAATCAGCCCTGGACATTATTTGGATGGGAGACTTCCAAGGAATACCAGGGTCACGACGCGGAGGCAGGCAATGGCAAACCCCCTCTGAGCGTCTCTTGCCTTGAAAACCCCACTAGGAGTCGCCATGAATCGGCTGTGGCTTGACGGCACTTTCCACCACCACCACCACCACCACCACATGAAGATATACTCCCCGCCTACCTGCACGGTAACTTGTACTGAAAAGGCATTGTAAAACACATTCCCACCTAAGAATCTGAGAGCCGGCATTGTGCAGTGGCTACAGTGGTCGATTAGGACAGAGGGGGAGACCTCACTTGCTCATAACATATAGTGAGTGAACCTAGGCCAGTCATTTTCTTTCAGAATAATCTACCTCACAGGGTTACTGAAGATATATTGGAGGAGGGTCGGGATAAAAATGTACTAAATGAACCCATGCGCACAAGTAACTGCAAATATGACAAATAGGAACATTTAGTAAAAGAAACTCTGAACATGAGTAGCTGCCTTATGCAGAGTCCGATCACCAGTTCATCCAATCACCATTTACTAAGCATAAAAAACCCCTAGCAAGTAATGTAACAACATCTGCCAGGGATTGAACGGGGGTCTTGCTCAATGTTCCCTCTAAGCTGTGGAGTCCTGTGAGCAAAAATTCTCCTTTGTGAGCTACTGGCATTAAAGTTGTGAGTGAGCGATTTGGCTACTTGCATAAAGAAGTTTGCTCTGGAGCCATCCTTCCTGAGCGAAGACAAAAATGTGTGAGCTGGAGGCTAAAAAACTGTGAGCTAGCTCACACTGACTCCGCGTAGGGTAACACTGGTCTTGGCATGCCAAGCATGTGTTTGACCACTGAGCCACAGGTCCTCATTCCCTTTGTGTCAGCAAGATGCCAATGTTTTGCTTTGTATGCCTGTATTCGCTTGTCTGCTTTCACTTTCAGCCGCTAGACTGTAGATGCGCATGATGATGTAGACTGCCGAAACAATTGTATCTCCCAAGGCAACAGGTGGTTGCAAGAGCTTGTTAGTGTAATGAAGTTCTCATGAAACGGCGTGAGAAAAGAGATAACATATTCCGCCTAGGACCGTTTATTCTCAAGCCCAAAGGCGCGAGCAGGAAACCCCGCAATTGGGCCCTAGTAGTTTGAATGAACTATAATATGCTTTGCTGTTTGATTCCCTCCCATTCTGAACAGTGATCCTGTTATGCACCTTAGCTTCAAAATAAAGTAAGACCTTTTCTACAAGCGTGTACTTTGTGATGATGCTGTGAAGAGTCTGACACTTTGCTTTCCTGACTGATCTCAGTGTAGCATAGGGTTGCCAACTCTGGGTTGGGAAATTCCTGGAGATTTGTGGATAGAGCCTGTGCACAGTGGAGTTTGGGGAGGGGCGGGACTTTAGCTGGCTAAAATACCATACAGAATCCGCCCTACAAACAGCCATTTCCTCCAGACCAGTTGTCATTCCAGGAGATCACCAGCCCCCACTTGGGGATGGGCAACCCTAATGCAGCATACTTAATTTTTTTAGCTGTTTGCTTAGTATGGAACAAGCGAAGGTCCCCTGCACTTAATAGAAAACTATTTATCTAAACTGCCATTAGAACAAGGTTAAATGATAAGTAATTCAAAGGCAGTAGAAAAATGTGATGAGAGAGAGAGAGAGAAAGAATGGTGAACTGCAGCTGGGAAAAGAGGCTTTAAAAAGACAGAAAAGTAAAAAATGAGTGAGGGAACTACTTTCCCCTACATTGTTTTTGAAGTACTTCATCTGAGAGAGATCTTTCTCTTACCTTCATCTGAGAGAGATCTTTCTCTTACCTTCCTGATGGCTTGTCCAGAAGCCTTTATAGCTATAAAGCTCTCTGGCACTCCAACAGTGGCTACTACTTGCTGCTCTGCTGGAGACATCTGATTATACTAAAAAGCAGAATTCAGATTTTAAAAATTAAGCTAAATACGTCTAGCAACAAATGTTAATCGAGAATGCAGAGCACAACCTGTCTTCATGTGAGCACACATAAGGATTGGCACAGAGCTCTATATTGCCCTCTTGAACCTCATGTGGCCCTAAACTGCTTCTGAAATGGAAGGTAATCTCACCAAGTGGCTGCAAGTTTGGGGTGGGGGAAGCAATCCATTTTCTCTCCCTATTGGGGTAAATAAATGTTTTGGGCTCCCATATCTACCCAAGAAATGGCACAATGTGGAATAAGCCCCTTGCCAAGTCCCAATCCAAATTCCCCTCCCACACACAGCTTTTCAGTGAAGTTAAGTGGTTAGGAAATCTGACTGCAGTTCTCTTGAGTCTCGTCTACTTAAACCCTGAGTCACAGTCAAACAGAACAAATTATCAGTGACTAACAAGTTTTCAACACCTGGATAGGATTAACTGTGGTTAGATCAGGGCCACTGTATTTCACAGCATTACTTGGAGGTAATATTTATGATTCTATGACCTTGCTGGAGATGTCATTTAGTATTTCAAGAAGGCTTATTTTGCTAGAAAACAGAAAGACAAACCGTCTACAGGGTCAAGGCCAAGCCACCTACCCATGGGAAACTTGCAGTTGCTTCCTGGAAATCACATGGTAGATGTTTCCTTCAATTCCAGTCAGCATAGGGTTGCCAAGTCTATCTTCCACCCCCCAGCGGGGGACTTTGGGGGCGTTCCTGGAGGGGGCGGGGCATCCCTGACGTGATGACGTCACGTTGGGGACGTCCGCCGAAACCCCCCCCCCATGCGCCAGATCTCCAGAAACGGCAGTTCCCTGCACCCTTTTAAATGCAGGAGCCGGCGTTTCCCCTTTAAGAGCAGCTGCGTTTCCCTTTTAAGAGCACAAAGCTGGCATTTCCCTGCAAGCTTGCAGAGATCAGGCTTGGGAGGAAACACGGGTTCCACACACTTAAAGAGAGAGAGATGGGTGGCTGTGGGTGTTGGGGGTGGGGCAGGTAGAACCCCCCCAAAACAGGGGACCCCTGGCAAACGGGGGGGGGGGGGTTTGGCAATCCTAAATCGGCAACCTGCAATTATGCAGTCTGGCCATACCAATGAGGCAAACGACGTATTACTTGCAAGCTCTGAAGAAATGGCTGAAGTGTTCTCTGGCATCATTTCACCTGAATGCACACAGAGCCCATTTTGAAAGCTGGTGCAAGAAGCAATCTTCCATGGAAGGAACAGATTCCTCCTCCTACAGCCGTAATGGGACATTCAAACTTTTGAAAATCGGTGTTGCCCCTTCAAGAGGGCTGGCACCAAAACCAACTCCAGCCATTTCACTCTGACTACATTCAAACATCACAAAACACTATAACTAAACTGTGACTGGGGACAAACAGAGCTTGTCAGCAAACCTGCATTATCACCCCAGCCCTCCCACCTCCTTTTTCTTCTTATGCACAGAAACTGATTGAAAATGTCCTAGTCTGATTGAGCTCCAATTTATTAGAACACTCAAATGCAGGTGCCTTAGCAAACTGGGGTTTGTTTATCCTGTAAAAACTGGGATTGTAAACTGGGACTATACTGAGGTTTAGAATCTTTGCTCAGGGGTGGGAACAAACTCTTATTTGCTGAAGTGCCTGCATTTGGAGGCCATGGAAAACTGGAACAGGAAGTGTTCAATCAAATTCTGTGTGAAAGAGGAGGAGATGGAAACACAGCGACAAGCTCTGTACATACCCGGTTGCATTTAACTACAGTTTGCCGTGATGTCTCAGTGCAGCCAGCGAAAGAAAATACTGACATTGTCCTTGTCTCTGCTAAACTAACACAGGTTGCCTGGATGTCTTCTCGCCTCTGAGCAAGACTATGAAATTCTTAACATGTTTAAAAGCCTTACCTGTTTAAAATAGATCATCCAATCCAGGGTACACTGGGAAACCATGTCATATGGTGTTATCAGGTAGAGTAAATGAAGGCAGCTCTCAAGCATTAGCCCCTCAAGGCCTTTCTTAAGGTCTGCATAGAGCTTATCACAGTATGCCAGGTCGACAGAACCTGAGATGTATTTAAACAAGCAAACGTCATACAGTGTACCGCGCTCAGAACGCGTGCAGATCATGCGGATATATTTAACTTTCTTTCCCTCTTGGGATCATGACATCTGTAGCACTCCAACATACTGGAAGTCTCTAGAATATGTGCTAGCCTCAGGTGCCTTTCCATATGGTTAAATGCACTGCTTACTTCTTAAACTTTAGTTCAAGACCCTTCCTTCATCTTCATGTAACCAGAGGTCATTTCGGGGGGGATTGCGGGGGATCGCAGTTCCCCCGGGTGAGGTACGGGGGGCGGGGCACATGACGAAGCCCCGCCCCCTGGAGGGCCTTCGCGGGGCTTCCTTGCACTCCCGCCGGCCTTGCAGGTCCACCGCCGGGCCCCTCATGGGGCTCGGCAGTGGAGCTGCAAGGGCGGCGGCGGTGGCTGGGGCCGTTGGGGGTGGTGTGTGTGGCCTTATGACACACTTCCGGTGATGTCAGGGGGTGTGGCATATGCTAATGAGTGATGCTAATGAGTTCCCCTAGCTCTTTTTCTACGAAACGACCCCTGCATGTAACAGACCGTTTCAGAGGGTAGCCAGGTTGGCTTGCAGCAGGGAGCAACTAGATCTTGGGGGTATGAGCTTTTCAGAGTCAAACCTCTGACCAAGGGAGCTTTGGCTCTTGAAAGCTCACACCCCCAAAATCTTGTTGGTCTCTCAGGTGCTACTGGATTCAAATCTAGACGTAATGGACAGAGCACAAGTTTTGATTCCAGGAGTGGGGTAGGGGTTAAAACACTGTGGGGAAATTGCCTTTTCACACCTTTAAAAAGTTTAGAGTGTATATGCCACATTGCAGGGAAAAAAAATACTACTGAGACTGGTACAGTGGAGGAAGCTTGTCAAGTATTTCCCCGCCCCTCCATTTGTAAAAGGATAAATAAGCACTCTCTCTGCAGATACAGAGCAGGAGCTTTCTGGCCAGTAAAATTAAATTAATGTAAAGAACGTTGGCAAAATGGGGCAGTTTTTCAGTAATGACATCATAGACACCACGGATGCCAACAACCTGGAGAAAAAAATCCTGTCATTTTAATAGAGGCTTAGGCTAAATGTGTGGAAGTAGCCCAATGAAGTTTTTCATGGCATGGACGTCAGTAATGCCACCTGGCAAATAGTAGCCCATTAAGTTTCTGTTAAAGGAACAAGACTTTTTTCTCCAGGCTATTGGGAGTCCTACATGAGACTCATAAAACCACACTTCTCACAGACTTGCCGGCTGCAGATGAGATGAGTTCTCCAGGGATTTGATTTGAGGTGAAAACCAAGGTCCCTAAATGCATGGCTGGTCCATGACACTTTGAGGCCCGAGATGAAAGGATCAACAAACACCCTTTGTGTAAAAATACAACCACACTAAAATAGTGGAATATTTTGTTGCCCTTTCATTATTCCTGAAGTAGCCGTCTTGTGCTGCCTAATGACCCAACCAGCCTAGCCATACTCCTAGCCAGGGCTCTTTTTGTAGAAAAAGCCCAGCAGGAACTCATTAGCATAATAGGCCACACCCATTAGCATATTAGGCCACACCCCTGACATCACAGCTCATTAGCACATTAGGCTGTACCCCCATGTTGCCAGAAGTGTGGTCATCCAGCCACACCCACCTTTTGCTTTTTATTCTGTTTACCTTGTTTTTTGTCAAAACCCAGGGCTTTTTTTGTAGCAGGAACTCCTTTGCATGTTAGGCTACACACCCCTAATGTAGCCAGTCCTAATGAGTTTCTGCTGTTAGGTGTGGCCTGTTATGCTAATGAGTTCCTGCTGGGCGTGGCTAACTCGGGAGCCAGCCGGAACTCCGTTCCTGTGCGTTCCTGCCCAAAAATAGCCCTGCTCCTAGCATATAAACCACAGAGACATCTTACCTTTGTAAGTGGCTTGACCCAGGTGAGTGATCTCTAAATTATGCTGCAAAGGGTCTTCACTCTCACACTCTGCCCTCTCCTTTAGGAGCCCATTTTGTTTCAACCACTGCAACACTTCCACAGTTACATCACACAGGTTCTTCCCTTTAGGCAGAAGTTGGGGCTGGACTCTAAGCAAAGTACTGTCCATAAAGCGGCAAACCTCTTTAGGGCTAGTTGCTATCTATAATGGGACAGAAGAAGGCAAGACGGACTAAAGATTTCCTGCAAAAAACCAGAGTTGAGCACCATGGAAGAAAAACAGATTCTGGCTATTTGTTATTCCTCCTGAAGCTTCCCTCCCCTTAATGGAGTCAAGATATTTTACAGCATACAAGAAAGAGTTCAGGAATACCTTCAAGCCAACTAAAGAGAGGATCAGGCTCCGGATTCCTTTGTTGCACTCAAGCAGGAGATTGCTGTGACAGCTTTCTAAAGGGCTGTGTACTAAGTTTCGAACCTTTAAAAATTACAATATGTAATCAATGAAACAGCATAACTAAGTGAAAGAGAAAACTATAAACAATTCATATCTCTGCGGCTGCCCAACATTACTAGAACACCATCTTGTCTATTACATCTCCCCAGGAATGCTCTCTTAATTACACACAGGAAGCTCGTACACTGGGGGCCCTGCTCTATAAAGGAAGAAAGCCCATCTGCAGCTGAAAGCAGGGTCTTTTCACTGGTGACCCCAAGTCTGCGGAATGATCTCCTTCAAAAGTTTTGATTGTGCACCTGGCTTTCTGGCAGTTACATGATATGCGTGTATACAGGAAAGCTCCCAAGCCCAGGATCTGCTGGCTCTACAAACCTGCTATGGGATAGCATGGACTGGTATCTTTGCTTTTATCTAATCCTAGAACTGTAGTTATGTATTGCTTTATGGTAGTTTTGAGTGCTGGCTATAAATCACCTTGATCTCTTTGGAAAGACCAACTATAAATTGGAAATCCCCAACCCTTTTGAGCACGTGGGCACCTTTGGAATTCTGACAGAGCGTGATGGGGGCAACTACGCAATGGCTGCCACCAGAGGTAGAGTCCCACACACAGAGTGGAAGGGAGAAGAAGGGTAATTGAATGAGAGACAATAAAACCAACAGTGGTGGCAGCTGCTGATGAAACAACGTTATTTTTATCTCCACGGCCAATCAGATCTCCAGTGGCCAGAAGCCCTGTTGGCTAAGAGCACCAAGTGGCCTCACCCCCTTCTAAAAACACTTGATGGGCACCAGGAAAGGAGTTGGTGGGCGCCACAGTGCTCACGGACACCATGATGGGGACTTCTGCTATAAATGACCTTAGACAGCCAGAGCAGTGTGGGGGTTACGAGTGTCCGACTGATCTGGAAGACTCAGATCTGAAACCCCACCCCCCGCTTTGCCATAGCAGCTTGCTGGGTGACCTTGGGCCAGGCCCATAGCTACAGTGGGGCATTTTGGGGCCCCGTCCCCCTAATTAACAGCCCTGCCCCACGAACAGCCATGCCAGAAACCTTATTTTTGAGCATGCCTTAGGTGGTACTGGGCTTGCAGAAAGAGAGGTTGTTGGAGATGTACTGAAGGTGCCCTTTAAGTTTTCTTACCCTGTGGAAGGGAACTCAAAAAGCATTTAAATGCCTTCTGAAGGCAATGAAATGCCCTCTGAGCTGTTTTTTCCTAGGAACTGACACGCTCTCTGCCCTGTCCTTTGAAAGGAAGGGCTAGAAACAGGCTTGCAGTCTCCCCCTTTAAAGACAGGCGTTCAGATTAATTTATTTAACTGAAATTTAACTGCCCCCTTAAATTTAAATACCCCCTGAACAAAAAAATCCTGGCTATGGGCCTGCCTTGGGCCAGTCACACTCTCTGCCCAACCTACCTCACAGGGTTGTTATGAGGATAAAATGAAGGTGAGAATAACATAAGATGCTTTTGATCTCCAACGGGGAGAAAGGCAAGATATAAATGAAATAAACAAAACATTCTAAGCAAAACTAAACTTTTAAAAAATGACACACGAGACAGCTCTTCTCCTTTCCAGGTTTCTAATGTCTGAACCACTTCCAGTGACATGCAACATTTTGATTTGGGTAAGGATTTAGTGGACAAGAAAGAACAAGGATATGTTTTAGCAATATATCTATTTTTTAAAAAATAAATAAATGCTCATGGCCATTTACCTTTTACATATATGCCTTTAAAATCAACACTTTAATTGTTCACATAAGCTTGTGTTTATGAAGGTAGCCACCTATCTTAAGCCCATGCAGATACATATTAAAATAATTTAATAATTTGGAAAGTCAGGATGTTACACTATTTAGCTGCAATTCTGTTTAATGATGAAATACCATTAGCTTTGGAGGAGAGGAGCTGGGCTTTGTTGTTATTACACTCAATGAAAAAGTATCTTTAAAATATACTTACTAAAAAAGGAACCAAACTATTGTAGAACGAGCCTTTTTACCAAAAACAAAACAAAACTGAACTCCTCCCTATGCTACATAATCGATTTATCCCGATGACCGAGAAGTCTCAAAAATCTCCATTCTTTTTTGCTCAAGTTACCAGCTGTTTGTCTTTTTCTTGCGCTATAAGAATGCTTTCGCCAGCACTGTCAATGCCAGCACGACCGGCTCTGCCAATCATCTGCTTATACTGAGTCTTCTTCATGAATTCTGTAGCAACATACGGAGCTCTTAAGATGACCCTAAGAAAACAGCAAAAATGTATTTTAATTATAGTACTGATATATGGGCATTTTTTCAAGATAACAAAAGATAAGCTATTACGTCTTCCTAAAGTCTGATATAACAAAACATTCCAGAACATACTTATATACTTTAAAATGCATATAATTTCTGAAACCATTACTTACTGAAACGAACTAAACAAAATATACAGAATTGTTAAAACCTCAACGTTCCTCAGGGCTGTTAACGTGTACACTGTTTCATGCACGATATGCCAAAGTGGTGAGTAATGCTCAACTGCATACTCTTATTATGTGAAGTAACTCTTGACTTTATTGTACTCTTTATTTCTGAAATGTGCTATTTGAACATGTCGAAAACTGCTTGTTGTGAGGCGCTCGTCAAAGGGCAGCAAAGCATCCTCCGCAGTTGGATTCTGGCCACGTGCTCACTGTCTGCTTAGTGCAGCCGCTGAGGCAGTTAAGAGACAAACACTGCTTCTTACAGATGCCGAACAAAATTTAAGACAGGGATTTGGAGATGGAGGAATAATGGACAGGCAGCACAAGCTGGCTGGATCCTAGGGCTGCCAAGTGGGGGTGGTAAAGCCCCGCTTTGGAGGCCCGATTTCCGACGCCACGGAATCGGGCCCCGGGGGGAACCTCACCCCTGCGTGCATGTCACCAGGAAGTGACGTGGGCACGCTGGGGGCTGGGCCACGGCCATACAAGGGAAAACTCTATGGTTTCCCCTTGTATGGCTGTGGCCCCGCCCCCAGCGTGCCTGGCGTCCTCCCGTCACTTCCGGGTGACGTGTGTGTGGCACGCGCGCGCTCTGCACGCGCGCACACACACCAGACGCCGGCCAGGAGCCCCCCGCTCCCGGCAAAGATACACTTAGCAACCCTAGCACATGAACAGGAAGAAACATTAACATTCTTAAATGGTTTCCCCACAGGCTACCATAATTCTTAAGAAGAGATTGGATTTATACCCCACCGTCCACTACCCGAAGGAGTCTTAGAGTCCTTACAGTCTCCTTTCCCTTCCCCTCCCCACAACAGACACCCTGGGAGATAGGTGGGGCTGAGAGAGCTCTCCCAAGAACTACCCTTGAGAGAACAGCTCTAAAAGAACTTGTAACTGACCCAAGGTCACACCAGCAGCTGCATGTGGAAGAGTGCAAAATCAAACCCGGTTCTCCCAGATTAGAGTCCGCACTCCTAACTACTACAACAAATTGGTCAATCACTATGAAATCTTAAGCAGTTACAGCCTTCTGTGGCCATTGGCTTTAGAAGGGTGTAACTTGGTCTATTATTTTTAATTTACTAAATTTATACCCTGCCTTTCTGCCCTCATCAGGACCACTGAGACAGTTAACAGATTAAAAACATAATAAAAACGCATCTTAATAGCCATTAAAACCAAGCTAAAATATCCATACAGTAAAATACGATCCACAGACATAAACAAACAAAACATATGGCAAGAAGGAGGGATCACTGAAAGAACAACAGATGAAACAAAAAGGATTCACCTGCTAGCAGAAGATGGAAATAGAAGGGGACAGAGAAGTGTCCCTGGAGAGAGAGTTCTAGAGTTTTTGGTGCCACTGCCAAGAAGGCCTTCTCCTGGGTTGCCACCTGCCTAATCTCAGAAGTTCTTCAGTTCAGAAGTAAAACAACTAAACTGAACTCAGACTTAGTCCTCACAGATACAGCAAAATGTTAGGCTCATGACTGAATTTCCACCCATATGGAAAAAATTCTTGCACATAGGAAAACAGCCTGTCAGCAAGAAGACTAGAATGCTTATCCTGGGTATGGTAAGTTTCTATGTCGCAGGGCATTTTTTCAGATGGAGACACAGTTGTCACATGAGCCTCCCGCAATCTGAACAGTACAGGCCAAAATAGTTTTACCAGTTTACCCGAGGATTATGAGAACTAGGTTTGATCGGCCTTTTGTGTAGCAGGTGCTTAAGCACGGTGTGCAGAACCGCCTATACATTTTCCTTCAGGTTCACAGTAAAGAATGAAGAAAAGAACAGAGTCTTCCTGTTCTCCAGAAGAGTAAAAAAACCCAGCACCATAAAACTGTCACATACATCTCTTTCGCAGCCAGATTTATCATGATACTTTAGCAAAGGCAGGATTTTTACTGTACTTTGAATTTGCTCCAGCTCTTAGCTTCTGAATAGCAAGACCATCACAGTTTTTATTTATCCAAGGTGTTCCTGCCTGGGAATTAAGATCACAGGGAGGGGCCATCCTGACTGCCCTATTGACTAAAGAAGCTCGTCTGGAGGGTATGCCAGAAAGTGCCTTTCAAGTGGCAGCCCCGTGATTATGGAACAACCTTCCCAGGGACGTGCACCTGGTCCCCTTGCTTTTGATCTTCAGAAGGCAGAAGGTGGTTTTATTTAGGACTGCATTTGACTAATTTGGAGCTGCGGTGGCTCAAGTGGTTAAGACGCTGAACTGCAGGCTGTGGAAGGTCAGTAGTTTAGCAGTTTGAGACCCGGGTGCCGCATTATGGAGTGAGCTCCCATCTCTAGTTCCAGCTCCTGCCAACCTAGCAGTTCGAAAGCAAGATATTGCAAGTAGATAAATAGGTACCACTTCGGTGGGAAGGTAACAGCGTTCCGTGCACCTTGGTGTTTAGTCATGCTGGCCACATGACCACGGAAACGTCTTCGGACAGCGCTGGCTCTTCGGCTTTGAAACGGAGATGAGCACCGCAACCCTAGAGTCGGATTTGACTGGCTTTCGAGCAAGGGAACCTTTACCTTTAACTTTACTAATTTAAGCTTTTAGTCATTGGCAGTCCTAACTGTGATTTTAAATTGTGGTCTCTTATCTTATAATTAAACATTAATTAATTAAATAAGCTCCTTGGGCTACTCCACATAGTATTGATAACTGTATCTCTGAAATAGAACAAAGTTTGAGTCCAGTGGCACCTTTCAAAATGTTTCTGAACCTGGAGGGGGAGGCAGCGTGAAACTAAACAAAAAATAAGCTTGATTCACCTTCGAGCGGGCAGGTTTACTCCAGCAGCAAGGGTAGAAGTGCAGGTCAGGAGACAGAGGATGCCTGAAGAATAGGCTTCTTCAATTTGTTTTCTTTCATCATTGGTAAGGCCGCTGTGGTGATAGGCAACTCCAAAAGGAATTGTTCGCTTCAGTACTGGACAAAGTCTTCCATTGCAAATGTTGGTTAAATCATCGATAAGGTCCCGTTTTTCTCTCTCCCTGTGGATTTTATACTCTCTAGGGAAGAAAATGACAATCAGATTGTACTCATACAGAAAACAGCTCAAGATCTGCATGTGTGGCTTCGAAAGAGGCTCCATGCTTTCTTCACTATGATCAGGTGGTCACGTTGTTGTTCATCCCGGATGAACAACTCATAATCACCTGTGCACAAACCCTGTAAAAACAGTCAGTGCAGATGTGACATTTATTGTCCCTCACCCATGTTTAAGGGACTGGAAATCAATTTATTTATTTCAATTTATTATTTAATTCAATTTAATTCCATTTAGTTCCATTTCTATCCCGCCCTTCCTGCCAGCGGGCTCAGGGCGGGTTACAACATTAAAACAATAAAACAAAGTATTAAAACAATAAAATCAGATAAAACCATAAAATTAACCTTTAGACAATGGCGAACAAACTACAACACAGCTATTTCAATGGTACCCTGATATTAAATGATGAATACAGAAGGGCTGGATCCGAAAATAAATTCCGGATTATGGATACCCTGCTTGGGTAGACCAAGGTGGCTTTCATTCTATGTCCTCAACAATTACTTGGCAGTAATAAGCCACGCAAACATAGGTGTGACTGTTTAACTAAGAGCTAGATTTACTGAGGGTAGTTCACAGGGATGCAGCTAATGGTGTCTCCCAGGACTCCTCTCTTCATCAGAGTGCGTGTGTGTGTGTGTGAGAGAGAAAATAAGCCTCAAGGTGTCAACTCTTGAAACATCAGGTGGATAAACAGATGTGTACTATTACAAAAGCTTGCTAGTCAGACACCTATACTAGTAATGCATGTAGGTGAGGGTCACCATTTCTGTGATATTCAGTGGCTTGGGAGGCTCACGTGGCTCTTTTCACATGCTACTTGTGGCTGTTTTGAGCACTGTTCCTCAATTTGGATCACACTGCATATTCCATGGAAATGAGTCAGGTCAATACCTAGCATGGTAGGGCTTGTGGCTGGCAGGTGGTTCCTACCCTGAAATAGCCCCCTGCATATAGACTGGAAGACAAAGAAGCTGTGACCATCCCTGAGCTGTGGGCCTTGTGCCACAACACATCTTGCTCTCCTCTGGGTATGTTGCCAACCTCACTCTCTCACCTGAGCTACTGTGGCTCATGCTGAGGAGAAAGTGAGAAGACAGAGAGGGGAAGCCCTTCCACTCACTCCAGATACATAAGGGCTGGCTGAAGTTCAGCAGTGGCGGGGAGAGAGACACCCCAACATTCTCAGAGGTACTCTGTCAATTTAAAAGGTTCTACTTTAATAGTAATATTGTGTGTGTGTTTGGGGTGGTTCACAGGGTATACAAGAGTCACATGGCTCTCTTGGTTGATGGTAATTGTGAATGTGACTCTCCGTGAACCACACAGTACCACTGTTCTAGACCAGCTGTCAGTGATAGCAACGAACCAACCAAGGGTGTCAAACTCATTTGTTATAAGGGCTGGATCTGACGTAAATGGGACCTTGTTGGGCTGGGCCATGTGTGTCATAAAAGGTAATGCCAGGTATCAGAGATATAAATTTTATAAAGGACACAGACAAATACAATTAAATTTTTTTTTTAACTTTAAATAACACATTTCCAGTGAGTTCGACACCCCTGAATTAGGTGATGAAGCTTCTTTCCCAAACCATTTCCTGATTTGGATAGGTTTATGCTAGGAGGTCACAGAACACTGTAGAATATTATGAGAGAAAATCATAGTATGTGGAAATGTTACTGAAGCCCATTTATTCATGTCTGAGGATAAAATAAATTTCAACTTAATGACACCTCCTTTTAAACCCTAATGGCTTATTTCCCCTTGCAGATTGTTATGTCTCCATCGGTTCCTCTGACACGTGATATTTTGCATGATACTGAGTTAATGTCTCTCATAAACACAATTATTCCTGGTATATTAGCATCATGTCTAGGTGTGACAATACACAAGATGCAGGTGCAGTGCTGCAGCATACTGTGCGATCGTGATGGTCACGGCACACTATCCTGACCTCTTCCCAAAGCAATTCTTAGAATTAGGTCATTTGCCCTAGTGAACTTCCAAACTAAATTAGGAAATACTTATTAAACACATAGAGACAACATACCTCTTCAAGTGCTTGCATATTGTTTCAGCTACATTTTCACAGTTCTTTTTAGTGGGACAAAAGATGAGGCAGGAGTGTAGTGGAATAACTTCTGTTGCCAAGGCAATAAGGTGATCTGGGTCTATCTTTTGAAGATTACTAGAATACTGAAGATATTACACATCTTGGTTTGTAATCTGCATTAAACCTGTGCCTCAGTCATCAAGAGATTTATGCCAAACTTTACTACAGGTATACATCTGTCTAGGGCTGAAGCTTCAATTTTAAAAATTACCCAGGTTTTTAAAGACTGCGTGCTTTCCTTGGAAAAATGTTACAGAAATCAGTGAGATATGTTGGACTAAACATTCTTAGGACTGTCCTGTACATCCCTTGAATGAAAAGAAAAAACGAACGCTAAAAACTATATGCAGTTCTGTCCTATATTATGCCTCCTGAGGATACTGGAACCAAGGACCATACAAGCCAGTACTGGTAAAACATACACTTAAAGCAATATATTTATCTAAACTACTGCACTGGTGAAGGCTAAACAAAACAAAAAACTTTAGAAGCTAAATAGAAACTGATTTATTTGTAACATCTTAATGAATATTTTCTTGATTTGGATTTGTGCAAGACATAATGAAAAACATCACTGGAAAATGTTGAAGCAAGTAGCCTTGACTGAATAATAAATTATCAACAGAAAAGGTTTAAATGCTTAGGTATATTACCTTGTAATCAAGGAGACGTGAAAGTTTAAAACCTTCTTCTGCAGTGCTGTCAACTTCATAGATGCTGTCTTGTATTTTAACATACTCTTTTAATTCTACCTAAATGTTAAGAGTTACCAACAGTTACAAATGTCATGACTTGTATCAAGAGGATATAAATACTTAGAATGATGCTTTGAAAAATTAACAAAAGCTTCCAGTCAATACAATTGGCCACTGAGAAAGGTAGTTTATTCCATTACTTATACCAATGGTTCTTGGTGGCACCCTAAAATAGTAGAATAGATTAACACTTCCTGGAATGATGGATAATTGACTTTCAGTAGTGTACGTTATTCCACCTGTAGCTGAGGGAAAAAATAAAATATTTTTCCCGTTTGCTCTAAAGAAGATAACACAGTTTTAGAAATTTTAATGATCTGGAAATGCTAAACGTTAAACTCACTCATAATACTAGGTACCTTTGTTTCCTAAAGTAGATGTTTCCTCTTCAAATGAAAAAAAATACCAATTTTTGAAAGCAAACAAACATTATAACAAAAAAGTTTAATTGTCTTAGGAGCTTAGAATGAAAAATGCATTTTCAATTCTCATCACTCTGACAAGGTCAACAAGTGAAATTTACATCTGGGATTGTTCATAGGTAGCTTTGTCTTGAATACATACTGGTCTGAAATTACTGGTGTAGTATTCTGCCTTCAAAAACTTCTGCAGGTCTCCAACATTGCTTAAAGTTGCACTCATTCCAATGATCTGAGTAGTCTCTATATAACATAAAACAAGATTGTCTGAAATGCTCAAGTTTCATAATTAAGAACACACTATGAGAATGTGACTATCAAAACTCAAACAAAAACAACAAAGGAAAGTCAAAGTACCCCATACTGTAAACAAAACCAGGAAATGGCTCTCTTCACAGGATTAGTGCCAAAGGATAACAGCAGCATCCATCTCAAAATCATGTTCTCAGCTGGCTTCCCAAATTACAGAACACTGTTATAGAAGCAGCACAAAATACAGCCTTGAAAAGCCTCCTAAAAATCTCAGCAAAATCTTATATGCTTGAAAGTTCCAGTATGAAGACATAAGAACATATGAAGAGCCCTGACCAGTTCCTCCTTCCTTGTTCAAGATCTTAAGAGAATCCTGAAGGGGAGTTTTAAGGGGTTGGGATTTTCAAATTTCCCCCCTCCTCATGATTCTTCATGGGACCCAGACTGTACGTACTATTTGATTATCAGTTCTAGACGTTACACAGAAATTACTTACTGCTTGCATAGATAATCTTTGCAAGTGTCATTTCTAGAATAGCTCCACGACTTCCTTCTCCAATCATGTGCAACTATGAATGAGAGAAAGGGGAAAATAAATTATGGACATCCAAGATACTGAATATCTAGATATTACCATGGACCACAGTAAGATTCCTGTAATGTGGCTACCATACTTTAACCTACAGTCAGATTTAACCTACAGTCATAACAAGACTCCTGTATTTTTAACTGCTCTGGAGGCTCAGAGTTTCTCCAGTCCAAGGATACAACTATACCAGTATACAAAAGAGAACACAAACTTAACCCAAGGAACAGACACTCAACATTCTGAAAAGCAATCGTAAGAACAGCAATTAAACATGACAGCTAATGTTTGTTCTACATACATTATTACTTTTTCAATTGGAGGCTGGATGCAGGTCAGCCAATAAATGCTGGATACCAGTAAGAATAAGGTGATGGTCAGTGGCAGATTTTATGAAATTTCTCAAAGGAGTAGGGACACCATGATGTAATTTGGCCACCTGGGATCAGTGATATCTGCAGACTTGGTATGGTTTCGGATCCATCATTACAACAGGACCCTTTGGTTATAGTGTTTTATGTTGATTAAGTATATCCATCTGCATTCAGATTCTCTCTGATTCAGCCACTCATACTTTGGTTATCTCAAGTCTTGGCAACTACAATAAATTCTTCATGAGACTGACTTTGAAAACAACTGGAGCTTAAACTAGACCAACAATACTATGCCATTCAAAGAAGGGTGGTATGCCTTGCTAGACTAGGTATGAATGTTACAGGCCCAGCAGCTGCTTCATAGTTATGGGATTTATTTTCCTTGCAGTCTCTCCAAGCCCTGACCAGGCTAGCCCAGTCTCATCAGATCTTGGAAGCTAAGCAGGGTCAGCCCTGGTTAGTATTTAGATGGGAGACCACCAAGGACCTCCAGGTTCATGCCACAGAGGCAGGCAATGGCAAGCCACCTCTGAATATATTTTCCCTTGAAAACCCTATGGGGCCATCATAAGTTAGCTGTAACTTGACGGTACTTCCCATCACCACAAGAGTCTCTCCAAAGCCTGAGCATCTTCGAGAAGAGACATAAGACTCGCGTCTTTTCACAATATTTGAAGCTAATAAAATAAGAAATGTTTAAATGTATTACTACTGTTAACATAATTAACATATTTTTGAAAAACAATAACACTTTAAATAATATTAACGTTTAAATTGTATTAATTCATTAGTTTCTAATAAAGGCTTTGAAAGCATTTCAGCTGACTGAGCAGAGATTGTTCAAATAAGACAAGTGCATATTTTTATCACAGGCTACTTTTTGATTCCATAAATAACTGATGTGTTTAAAATATTAGAAAGGCTTCCAGAGTATTATAACAAACCTCATCAACTACAACTAGACCCAAGTCACTGATTCGTCCTGTTTCTATCAAGGAATTCACCAGGCTGTGTCCTTTCTCAATAGTAGAAACATACAGCGATTTCTTTAGCCTTCTTTTGACAGGGGGAATTTTTCCTTTACTTCCAGCATATTCTTCAACCAGAAAACCCAGTTCCATTCCAAAACCTGATAAATTCCCAACCTAAAATATAATAAAAACATAAGGGCAAGATAAATTTTATGATAAACGTTGAAAAAAAACCTATAAACAGTTTATTATAAAAGTAACTGCAGGAGATTACATCCGATCTTAATACCAAGACTACAGAAAATCCTAGACAAACTCAATACAAAAACATACAAAGACACCTGAGTTTCTGAACAGCAAACTAACTAACTGAATAAACAGCAGCAGTCTTAGGAAACACAGTCCAGGGCTATGATTGTTTTTTCAAAAATAAACCTCCTCGGTTAAATGGAATTTCTTCTCAATTAAGTGCATTTCTGGAGGAAAATGGTCCAAATAAAACACAGATAAACTTTAACATCACCACACCTTCTCCTGAACTATGGCCACATAAGGAAGGATCATTAACACATCCATTTGCCTGCACAGCAATTCTTGAAGAATTAAAATTTCAGCTACAAGTGTTTTTCCACCACTGGTCGGTAAGGAGTATATTAAATTTTTTCTCTGCTTCAGTGAATCTAATGTTAAACAATCATGCTGCCAACCTGAAAAAAGAAGAAAAAAAGACATTACTTACACTCTTCCTTTTGTATTTTAATATTGATAATGACTCAAAAATCAAAATAAAGATCTGTTTTCGAATCCTACAAGGGTTTTTTTCCCCAATAAAATGGGATACTCCTGTGGAATATAATTCAAGGTTACAGCATTTTAAAAAAACATTCAGTTATAGTAACATATACTCTTGAGTGCTTTCACAAACCCCGGTAGTTCATTATCAGCACATAGAAATGACACTAATGTACTAGTTTAAGTTCAAGTAAAGCTAGTTACCATGCTGATATAACTGGCTTGCGGTACAATCCTAAACAGAGCTACGGTGTTCTAAACCCACTGGAGTTCAATGAATTTAGAGACATGTAACTCTGCTTAGGACTGCACTGACAGATAGTTATGTTTTCAATAGGAGTGCGTACAAACAAGGCTCCATCATTATTTCTAAGAAATTATCAACGGTGGTATTACCATAAAGCTTTTCAATTCCTCGGCACTTTACCAGTAGCTCCTTGACTTTGGTGGGTAAGCCATAAAAAGGACCAATATCAACAAATGAAGCATCAGCTGTTCCCTCAGCAAGACTGGTCTCTTCAGCTACAGCAGCTTCCTTAAGCTCTTTGCTTTTAGACACTAGTGTCGCTGGAGCTCTTGCATTCCCAGTCATTGTACTTTTGAGATGAACTGTAACACTTTTTCTCCTGGTGGGGTCAGCCAAAGCAATGGTAGACGGTTCACTTCTAGATGGTTCATTATCTTTTTTATTATATTCTGTCTTCTGGCAGTAAGACTGATTTGAGGTCTTGTCAAGGCAGCCATTCATACAACAGTCTCTCTGTTGTACATCTGCTGTTGCATTGGGGCCAGCAGAACATTCATTGGACTGAAATTGATGCTGCGACGATGGCAGGAATTCTGGATCATCATCATCATCTTGAGGCTTTACACTGCTCTCCTGCTGATCATATTCTGTTCTACTTCTTAAGCAAGTAATACTTTCTGAAGATGTCTGTTCTGCACTCTGTAACTGGACAGCAGTTCTACTCTCTAGGCTTTTAGAACCCAAAACAAAGTCAGGAGACTGCGCACACCTTTGCTCTGTAGCTTCTTTGGCTAACAAAGAGGAGTCACCAGAAAAGCTGTCATAGTCCACAAACATGTCATCTTCGCTGCCATTATCCTACAAGAAAAATACATGAATCCGTTTGACTGTTTTGAATAATTATACTTAGAATTTGTACACAACACTTTACAGCATTCAAAGCATTTCACACACACTATATTTCAGGAAACCCTGCTAGAACCCTATAGCAGTATTAGAACACTATAGTAAACCTGCATTTTAGATAGGGGGCTACGGTTGAGAAACTGGTCTTAGGCAAGACCACAGAGTTCTGGGCTGAGACAGGATTTTGTAGGTGAAAAATAACCAGTAGGTGAAAAATTTCCCATCACTTTATCTTCATGCCAAAAGCTTTACCTGTTTAATTTTTTTTAACTTTGTGATTCATGATAAACCGGACGAGATAAGGTATAGTGGTTAGAGATTCAGACCAGGAGCTGAGACTCAGGTTCAAAAACCCACTCTGCTGCAGAAGTTCAGTGGGTGACTTTGGCCCAGTCACACAGGCTAAACCTAATCTACTTCATAGGGTTGTTGAAAAGATAAATTGGAGAACAGAATGAAACATACTGCTTTAGGTCATCACTATACAGGGGTGTATAGATATCTGTAGATAGATAGATCTAGATATATACATGCGCGCGCACACACATATATATGAATAAATAATAAATATAGCTAAAGATGGGAGGGCAGATAAAAACCAGGTTGGCTGGTGGATGGGAGAAGGAAGCAAAGACAAGTAGGGATACATGGGCTACCCAGAAAGAGGGAAAGAGAAAATAGTGTGGTAAAAAAATATAGGGAAAAGCAAGGTGCCCCCTGCAAGTCCAGGCACTGCACAACTTGGCCAGAAGTTTTCCAGAGAGAGGCTGCCAGGGAGAAGGAAGGAAAACTGGTTGGCTGACTTATGGATGTGAAGGAGAAAAGGAAGCAGGAAAAGGGGAGAGGCGGGGGGGGGGGCTTTTAGGGAAGGCAAAGAAGAAATAGGTAAGGGAAATGAGGTGCCTCCTGTAAGCTGTTGCGGGTCACCTGTGCATGTGCACACTGTGGAAAAATGAAAAAAAGAAATACTCAATTACCACCGAACAGCCAGCACAGCAACTAGTTGTTGTACACTTATTTAGGGACTAGCTATTGTATTTATTTTGTTGCATGTATCCCCTGCCTTTCTACTTTGTACATATAATTCCAGCCCAATTTTGAGCTCGCGCTCCGGTGCCCCTGTTATTGTATGCAGATGATGCTGTAATTCTTTCTAGGTCTGAAGTAGGGATAAAGAGGTTGTTAGCACACTTTATAGAATATTGCAAGATGAATGGGTTATCCGTGAATTTTGACAAAACTAAAATAATGGTGTTCAGAGATTCCTGGAAACCTATCAATTGGCGTGTTAAGGGTAAAGCCATTGAACAGGTGAAGAGTTTTAAATATTTGGGAATTAATTTTCACCATAGTGCTAGGTGGGTAGCACACAGATCAGAAGCAATTAAAGCTGCGAATTGCTGTGTGCTAGCAATAACCCGTTCTTGTTTTTTTTACCAAGGGTAACCAGTATGTTCTTGCGGCCCTAAAAGTGTGTGAGCATAAAATTGGAGCGAAACTTCTTTATGGGGTGCCCATTTGGATCACTGCTTTAAACAAAATGGTAGAACAACTTCAATCCAATACTTATTGGATCTGACTTCCCCCCAGCTGCGTAGAGTATTTATGCTGGCCTGTTTTAATGTGCTCCCCTCTGCGGTTTTAGCAGGAAGATTTAAGAAAATCCCCTACTCTGTAAGGTTCTGTGATTGTGATTCAGAGGAGATTGAAACAATCGAACATGTATTTCTCTATTGTAGTTTGTATGAGGACATTCGGGCAGCCTACTTAGAAGATATTCTTAAGACTGATGCCAAGCAATCCGATGACAGAATGTTGTATCATCTACTGGCTTCACAAAATATAGCGGTTATTGAAGCGGTAGCTAAGTTCTGTAAGTGCCTTATAATGAGGAAGCTGTGTGTTAAATCCATGAACTGAATGGCGATTGTGTATGATTCTGATCTATGCCAATAAAGGTTTTGAACTGAACTGATAGTTGTTCCAACATAAAATTCCAACTGACATTATCAAATCCTTTTTCAGCATCTACAAAAATCAAGGCCATCTGTTTCTCTGGGTGAACTTCAAAATATTCTAGTATGTTTAATATCGTTCTTACATTGTTTCTAAATTGTCTTTTGGGAAGAAAGCCTGTTTGATCTTGATGGGGATTGTTTACATCAGTATTGCAGCCAAAATGGAGGCATAGATTTTGTAATCCACATTTAATAATGAGATTGGCCTATAATTTTTGATCTCTTTCTCATCAGTATTTTGTTTATGTATCAAGGTTATCAAGGCTTCATCCCATGTTTCTGGTATTTTACCTTCAGTTATTATGTTTTGTATTACATATTTTAAAGGTATTATCAGTTGATCTTCAAAGACATGACAAAATTCTGCAGGAAGACCGTCCAGACCTGGGGTCTTCCCTTTTTTTGTTTTTTTTAACGCTTCTGTCAATTCAGCAACAGTTATCGGATTGTTTAAAATTTCCCTTTGCTCTTCAGTAATTTTTTTTTGCATTGTACTTTTCTAAAAAATTCTTGATTTGTGTGGCTTCTCTCTTTTAACTTCTCATTAACATATAATTCAAGCACACTGCAGCATGTATTGACGCTATGGCCTCTCCCTCTATACATATACAACACGCACATCTCTCCTTATATATAATTGAGTTTTGGTGGGGCCACCGCCCCATGGGGTGGTGAGGAAAAAATGCGCTCCCTCAGCTATTGGTCCGTCAGCAAACAGGCAGCGAGCGGCCAGTGGAGAGAAGCTGTGTGCCCTTCTTCGGGACGTGGGGCGCTCCACCCACCCTTCACAGCCTTTCGGGGGGGGGGGAGCAGGGAAGGGCGGCGGTGCTGAGCCGGCTGCCGCGAGCCCATTTCCACCGCTCCACCCCCCCTCACAGCCTTTCGAGGGAGCAGGCGAGGGGCGGCAGCGGCGATGCTGAGCCAGCCGCCACGGGCCCGTTTCTGCCACTCCACCCCCCACACCTTCACGGCCTTTCGGAGGGAGCAGGCGAGGGGCGCCGGTGAGCCGCTCGCCTCAGGCACCTTTTCGCCGCTACCCCCCCTTCTTCACTCTCTCTTCCTTTCTTCCTATCTCCCTTCATTCTTTCCCTCCCTCACTCTTTCTCCCTTCCTCCCCAACACTTTGACTTCTTCCCCCCCTCATCCTCCCTCCCTTTCTGCCTGTCTGTCTTTCTGCCTGTCTGTCCCCCCACCACCACCCTTCTTCCTTCTTTCAATTCTTCCTTCCTTCTATTCTCTCTCTATGGCACCTTGGTCTCTATGGCAAGGCCGCTCGGACATCAGACGTGAGAGGCACCATTTGCCTCTAGGAGTGGAAGGCCATAACTTTTTAAAGAGCGCCTTAGGAGAGCTGGGGGAGCCGGAATGACCTCTTGCGTCTGATGTCTAAGCTACTCGGACATCAGATGTGAGCAGTGTTCCCTCTAAGCTGAGTTAGTGTGAGCTAGCTCACAGCTTTTTAGCCTCCGGCTCACACATTTTTGCCCTAGCTCAGGAAGGAGGGCTCCAGAGCACACTCATTTATGCAGGAGCCAAATCGCTCGCTCACAACTTTAATGCAAATAGCTCACAAAGTAGAATTTTTGCTCACAGGACTCCACAGCTTAGAGGGAACCTTGGATGTGAGAGGCACCATTTGTCCCTAGGAGCGGAAGGCCACCACCCCAAGGCTCAGGGAGGTGGGGGGAACCTTTCCCGCCCCCCCCCCAGCCATAACTTTTTAAAGAGCGCCTTAGGAGAGCTGTGGAAGCCAGAATGACCTCTCGCGTCTGATGTCCGAGCGGCAAGGCCTTCATTCTTTTTCTCTCTTACTCTTTCTTCCTTCCTTCCCAACGCTTTGACTTCTCCCCCCCCTTCATCCTCCCTCCCTCCATCTCTGCCTGTCTGTCTGTCTCCCCCCCTTCCACTCTCTCCCAACCCCTCTATCTATCTATCTATCTATCTATCTATCTATCACCCACCCACCCACCCACCCTAGGGCTTGTTGTCTTCATTCACAACGAGTATGTATATATTCGGAGCTGCGGTGGCTTTGGTAGTTAAGACGCTGAACTGCAGGCTGTGGAAGGTCGGTAGTTCAGCAGTTCGAGATGACAGAGCTCCCGTCTCTAATTCCAGCTCCTGCCAAAAGCAAGAAATTGCAAGTAGATAAATAGGTACCACTTCAGTGGGAAGGTAACAGCATTCCGTGCACCTTGGTGTTTAGTCATGCTGGCCACACGACCACGGGAGTCTTCGGACAGCGCTGGCTCTTCGGCTTTGAAACGGAGATGAGCACCGCAACCCTAGAGTCGGACTGGACTGGCTTTCGAGCAAGGGAACCTTTACCTTTACATGTATATATTCAGGTTGGGTTGCGATATGCGGGTCATGTCTGACAGATGGAAGCGAGCAGAGGTTGGGGCGAGAAGGCCTTTGAAGGAGCTAGTGGTCCCCAGCCAAAGGGAGGAAGCGCACCCGGTCTCTCCTCGTGGGTACCTCCTCAGGATATTCCTGCTCCTCCAGAGCCTCCCCACTTCTCAGCTTCTTGCGGGGCAGCGGCGATCGGGAGCAAGTCCGGTCTCGGGTCTTTTTGCCCACTGAAGCGGCTCTGCCATTCCCCCGACTCGACCGCCACCGTCCTCGAGTCCTCCTCTTCACGGCGATCCCGCCGCTCTCCATGAGGCACCGGCATAGCCTGCCCAGAACGGTGAATGAATCAGTCCGTCAGTCGTACACCGGGCGAACCAGCGTCGGCGATAAGATTTGCCTCTCATCCAGGGAAGCCGGAATCTACATTTCCCCCCTCTCCTGCAACGATGGAATTGTCCATCGCCCCCTCCGTAACACCCCCAAGGACTACACCAAGTCCTGCGGGGAGGGGGAAAGAGGTAGACTTGACACCAACGCAGAACTTCCTAACGGCTATGCCATATCGTTAAAGCTATGGGATACGTCATTTCCTGGGTTGTTGATGTGCGTAGGGGGTAGGGGAGAGCAAAGAGAAATTCGTACGACGATTGCGCAGCGCCAATTGACACTGACAGCCGTTGTCGCGGCTAGACCACAGTGACGCATGCGCAACGAATCCTCCGCAAGAACCGGAAATGGAGTAGGAAGAGAGAGAGCCGATTGGCTGTTGCCTAGGTGTTTTCTGTCTCTATGGTTTTCTGCGGCGGAAGTGTAGAAGACAGGGAAGCATGGCTGCCTTGGCTTCTTTATGTGGTTCGGCCAAGGGATGGGGGAAGCTTTATTATATCCTTGCCGCTGTAGGGAAGAATAGTAGTCGCGCTTCTGGAGCAGGTAAGGAGGGGAAGTAATTCAATTGCCGCATTACCACTGCTTGTTTTTGGGATGTTTGCCAGAGGCTCTGGAGCTGCAGTGTTTCCTTGCATGAAACCCAAAAGTTTCACCAGTTGAATTTTTGTTGCAAGTAGAGCTGGTAGTATTATCTGACTTCCTTGCAAGCATTGTGGTGGAATGAAGGGTACATGCAGGTATTTTGTTTGCTTTAGTTGTAGCCTGCCTTTCTCGCTGGGAGTCAAAGCGTTTGTCAAATTATGGCTGCGGTCACATGGAGCATTAGCCACGCTACAGAGACGGAAGATAGGCGGATTTTCCGGGCGTGATCACAGCACCACATCTGGGAAGGGTAGAGCTCCCGTGGCGAACCCGAGGCTTCCCGCCGAAGATGCGGGGTAAAAAACTAGTACCTCCAAGGTACTAGTTTCTGGAAACCGCGGAGCAAGGGCGAGCGCCTGATCGCGTTTCCGGTGGTAGGTTGTGGCATCCGGCGCCCACCCATGTCCCGTCGCTAAAAGGTTTTTCCCCCCCTCAAGTCTCCATGGGATGCGCACAAGCACCCAACGGCGCAAGCGCACACTTCGTTTAAAAACAAACAACACAACCCCCTCCTCTTTTCCGTACCCCCCCCACTCCTGGCTCGGCCTGCTCGAGAGGAACTCTCTGCACCGGGCGGCAGAAAGGGAGGTGCAGGGGGGGCGTGGCGGGAGGGCAGTCTGGCTGAAGCTTCTCCTGGAGGGGACTGGATGGAGGACACAGTTTGCATTCCTCTGCAGCCCTGGAAGGGGTTAATCCCATGGAACCTTTTGCTAAGGAGGCCGCTTCTTTGCCGCGCTGCAGGATTGTCCTGTGATTGGCACCTCCCCCCTAACCACGGGACCTCGACGGGACGTCTGATCGCGCAGCAGCGCGTTATTTTGCTCCGGGGCAAACAGCCACGCTCCCCCCCCCCCACATTTTCCTGCCCGTGTGACCGGGGCCTACAAAAACCAGTTCAGTCACACAGCGAAGATTTCCAGTAAGCAGTGCGGTAGGGCTTGGATTACGGAATTAGACTGCACTGCAGACAGATTAGAAAAACCCCCACAAATTGTCGGAAGCATGTCGTACCATAATGCAGAAAGTGGGTTTCCATGGTAGAAGGCAACGTAGTAAAAGGAAGAGTGTACTGCTGTACATACAATAAAAGTTGCAACGGAATAGTCTTTTTCCTCATAAAAGCAACCTGCAGATCTGTTCCAGTATACTACAGTTCTAATCTCTTTATCAAACTGCCATCTCACAATACAAGAACTTGTGGGCACTCAACTCATGGGCACTTAATGAAATTGCTTGAGCGGTCGGGTTAGAACACATGAAAGGAAGTATTTCTTCACCCAAAGAGTGATTAACGCATGGAATTCACTGCCACAGGAGGTGGTGGCGGCTACAAGCATGGACGGCTTCAAGAGGGAATTGGAGAAACATATGGAGCAGAGGTCCATCAGTGGCTATTAACCACAAGGTATAGATAGGAACTCTGAGTCTGGGGCAAGTGATGCTCTTTATTCTTGGTGCTTGGAAGGGGAACAGCTGGACCTCCTGATGGCACCTGGTATTTTTTTGGCCACTGTAAGACAGTGTGTTGGACCTGATGGGCCACTGGCCTGATCCAACATTGGCTTCTCGTATGTTCTTCTTGAACATTTCTTGTTTGTGTCCAGTGGCACCTTTATATTTTTATACCCATAATTGTTGAGTGTTAAAAGTGCTACTGGACTCAGTGTTTTGTTGCTTCAAGCCTACATGGCTATCCACCTGTATTTCTTGTTGGTGCATCTTCTGAAATGATGTAAGCAAGGAGACCTTTCTGATTTCCTCAGGCAAGCTGTTTCATAACATGGGAGCCCCCATAAAGAATTTCCCCCTACTGTAAGTTCTCCTCACAACCTTATGGGATCAGTTAGGGTGAGTCATTGTGATGGATCCAGGGTTACCTGGTGAACTTATTTATTTTTATTTTTCATTTTTTACCCCGCCCTCCCCACAAACGGGCTCAGGGCGGCTTCCAGAGCGTTATGCAGACTTTGCTTTAGAAGCCTAGCATGGTGCAATGCCAAAATAAAATTAGAACGACATCTGATAAGGCATAAAAACTAGCATGGATATAGGTAGATCTACCTATGCCTAAATCCATTATAACTCCCACCAGCTATTTTAAGAGGACTAATTCCCTGCTCTAGAATCGTATCTATATTAACTATAGTTTCAAATATAAGTTTAATGTCTGTAGAAAAATTACATCTCAAGGTGCCACAAAAACCTATCCTTGCGCCATACAGTTATTGGTGGCACATGGGTTAAATGTGTATGGGTGTATTTTAAGGATATACTACCTAATTTTTCTGAAGTTAATATGCTACAGTGCATATGTTGACAAAACACAATTGAAGATTTAAGTGTCGTCAGTATTATAAAGCTTAATTCAATATTAAAATATGCTGCTAGATCTATTGTGATTGTATGAGGCTGTTTCTCTCCAAACAAAGTACATCCTTTCTTTCAATACAGAAATTGCATTTTCTATTTTACATCTTTTATTATTTCCTACTTCTCAGATGGCAAAAACTAAGATAAATGTGCTAAAGTAGCAAAGGGTGTTGTGGTCTGCAGCTCTCCATTCACCACTGGGCAAATTTGCAATTTTGCAATCTAATGCAGTTACCCTAGTCTTATCTCATTGTACTGTAAGGTGTTTTTACTGATACATTTCATTAATATTTCAAGTAGCGTAATTTTATGTTTCAAATGATGTGTTTGCTATGTTAAAACAATAAAATAACTGTAGGCTTGATAAGCACAGATTTCAGTCCCCTACCTTCTAAATTGTGGATGTAACAAAAAAGTTATTTACTCCCTGGCTTCAACATTTCTGGAATTTTTGCATCTGTAGTTGCAACCAATATCAACATTCTTGCTAGGAAAAATATTACCATTGTCATTAGTAAAAGGGGAGACATACCTTTGAGAATACAGCCATGTAAGTTTGGCTCTCTGTGCTGGGGCAGTGTACTTAATATTTAAATATGCTTTTTATTTATTCTCAGTCAAATCATGGAGACGGCAGTGTAGTTCACACAGTGAACAGGTATCCAGTAAACCAGATATGGTAAGTTTTAATGTTTGGTATTTGACATATGTGAGCATGTACACATATTTATAAATGTTTCATAACATTTTAGGATTATAAGGGTTAAAGGAAAATACTTGCATATTATTTTCGTGTTGTGCCAGAGCTATAAAAATCAGTATATGAACTAATGTAAAATATTTAAGAACTGGAAGATGTTTCAGTGTATTTAAGGATAATTGCTACAGATTTAGTTTTGAAAATCAAGAACAATTTGCAGAAAGATCAACTGTAACGAAGAACGAATGACATACATTCTTAGTTACATAGTCCAGAAAGCTATTTCAGTAAAGGCAAAAGATGCCAGATTTATTGGGCTGAATATAAAATCTGGAGGGCATGACTATTCCTAAACTATTCCAGTATTGTCAAACCTCTCTCTGGAAGGGGACCAGAAACTATGATGGAAAATTAAAGTAAAAATGACAAAGTTTACAAAGTTGTTAAGGTATCAGACTCTTAAAACAAGCCATGCTTATATTTTAGGTATGTCCTCAGATTTGGGTTTTTAAAATCTAAAGTTTTAAATGTAATAAATAACTCCGCTGATTATAGGTTACCTTGAAACTCTTAAAATGACACGGTGGTGCTTTAAAGCATCTGATGGAAGGATATGATGGACAGCTTATTCACAGCCACTAAACGAGAGTGAGCATGGTATAGTGGACAGAGTGTCGGGCTTGGATCTGGAAGACCTGTGTTTCAGCTGTCCACCACTCTTCCATGGAAGCTTCCTGGGTACTGACCTTGGGCAAGTCATTATCATTCCAACCTGCTTCACAGGACTGTTGTCTAGGTTAAAATGAGGCATTGAGACACTGGTGCTTAGCTCTGCACATGGGGTTGCCAACCTCTAGGCAGGATCTGGAGATCTCCCAGAATTACAACTGAACTCTAGACAACAGAGATCTGTCCCCCCTGGAGAAAATGCCTGCTTTGGAGGGTGGACTCTGGCTTTATATCTGGCTGAGGCCTCTCCCCTCCCCAAATCTGGCCCGCCTCAGACTCCATCACAAAATCTCCAGGAATTTCCCACCCTGGAGCTGGCAACTCTTATCTGCACATGCTGCAAGCTGCTTGTCCTGCACAAAACTATAGCACCTCTCCTTCTGAAATGCTTAGCATGGTAATCAAAATAAACTTATTAAAATGGTATCAAAAGAGGTTTTCATGCTCAAAACCACTTCTGTTTCAGCCTGAGTCAATGGATAATCCTTATAAGGAGCCACCTAAAAAATGCATCTTGTGTGGGATACATGTTGATTACAAGAATGTTCAGGTAATTTTTTTTTTATGTTCCTGTGCCGGTGAGGTTTCAAGGATGACAAAGCAAAATTAAGCCGAAAATCTTGAAAGGGGATGAACTGGCCCTGACTTGGATAGGCCAGATCTCGTCAGATCTCGGACGCTAAGTAGGGTTGACTCTGGCAAGTACTTGGATGGGAGACCCCCTTGAAATACCAGAGACGGGAGGCAGGGGCAGGCTTTATTCAGCCACCTCTCTGAATATCCTCCAGGCCCCCAATAGGGGTCAGTCACCAGAAGATGCCATGACTTCCGAGGTGTACAGAGTCAGTCACCAGAGGTTGCCATGACTTCCAGGTGCGCAAGCACATAAAAAAGACATAAAGGGGATGAATTGCAGAAATAATACTAGTTCAGTTTTTCTGCTCTTCTGTTAGTTACAGGAAATACCGCTGCATGGTGGCAGTCATGTAATCCTTCTGTTCCTTTCACCCCGTGGTCCCTTTACATCCTAAGACTGCTGGCAAGAATATTAGGAGTGTCAAAATGAAAACTGTATCTGTAGAACAGGGGTCTCCAACATGGTGGCCATGGGCACTATGGCACCCTCTGACACCTACCATGGTACCTGCCAGGTGTTTTTAGGAAGTGGGTGAGGCCAGGTGGGGATTTTACCAAGTAAGGCTTCTGATTGGCCATTGGAGATTTGATTCACTGTGCAGGTTTTTAAAAACGTTGTTTTAGTAACAGTTTCTGCCACAAGCCAGTCTACAGAACTGGAAATGGATTGGACGTAGGCTAAGTTTCCATGATCTTCCACTTTAAAAAGTGGTGGAAGAATTTTAGGAATCTGCATGCAAATGTGAACTCTCAAGTGACATTGTAAGCATGGCAGTCATACATCACTTTGCTTGTACAGTACGTCTGTGTTTCAGACTGTGTGAACGCTGAAGAAACGAAGGCCAGTAGACTGTGGGTGGGAAAAGCATTGCATCCTAAATAAAACAGTACAAATGCTTCTGAGTAGTCTGCTGAAGATGTAATAGCTGTTCACTTCTCTTGATGACGGATAGATCAGGAGCAACCCAAGGGCCTTGTGGTCCCTTTCTCCTTCTTGTACACACAATCAACCTGTGTCATTTTCCAGGCTAACCATAGTACAGCATTGCATTTACACTAGTGTTCCTACTAACCACCATTAGCACAAATTATAGCTTGCAAACCCATTTCCAGGCTGTGCTGGCTCTAATTATGATTAGCACAGATGGGCCATAATTAGCATTTGGAGAAGAGAACTGGTGCGTGGAAGGAGGAAATCAGGGACAAAGGAGTGCAAAACCTATGCCGTGTTCTCAGTGAGGCAGTGTCGCATCTATACAACCTTTCTCGCCCTTTAACTCCAACAGCAAAAAAAGGTAGAACTAGCTTACTTATCAAACAGAATCCAGTTTTTCTTTAGGGTTTCCATTTTGCAATTATTTGTCGTATCCATGCCCTGCTTTTCAGCCTGATTGGTTCCTAAAATGCCGTACAACTATCACCATCACTTTTTTACATTAAAGACAGTTGAGACAGTTAAAAGGGGTAACTTCTCTGATATGAGGGGACATGTGGGGAGGAAACTGAAAAGAAAAGTAGAAAGGTTCAAAACCATTGGGGAAGCTTGGAAACGATTTAAAACTACGATCCTAGAAGCTAAAAAAAAAAATATTCCGCAGGTTAGGAAAGGCACAAACAGGTATAGGGAAAGGCCTGCATGGTTAACAAACAAAGTAATGAAAGCTGTAAAAGTTATAGGAAGAAGAAGAAGAGAAGAGATTGGATTTATACCTCGCCCTTCACTTGGAGTCTCAGAGCGGTTTACAAACTCCTTTCCCTTCCCCTCCCCACAACAGACACCCTGTGAGGTGGGTGGGGCTGAGAGAACTCTGACACAAACTGCTCTTTTTCAAGGACAGCTGTGCCAGAGCTTGTGACTGACCCAAGGTCACATCAGCAGGTGCAAGTGGAGGAGTGGGGAATCAAAGCCGGTTCTCCCAGATTAGAGTCCGCGCACTTAACCACTACACCAAACTGGCTCTCCCAGATTATCTCCCAGATTCCTTTAAGCAGTGGAAAGCTAGTCACAGTGAGGCTGATAAAACGGAACACAGGCTATGGTAAATAAAATGCAAATCTGTGGTCAGGCAGGCAAAAAGGGAATATGAGGAGCATATAGCAAAAAACGTAAAAACCAACAATAAAACTTTCTTCAAATACATTAGAAGCAGGAAACCAGCCAGGGAGGCAGTGGGGCCCTTGGATGACCAAGGGGTAAAAGGAGTACTGAAGGATGATAGGGAAATGGCTGAGAAGCTAAATGCATTTTTTGCCTCTGTCTTCACTGTGGAAGATGAGAAGTGCTTGCCCACTCCAGAACCGCTGATTTCGGGAGGGGTGTTGAAAGACCTGAGTCAGATTGAGGTGACGAGAGAGGAGGTCCTAAAACTGATAAACAACTTAAAAACTGATAAATCACCAGGCCCAGATGGCATACATCCGAGAGTTCTGAAAGAACTCAAATGTGAACTTGTAGATCTCCTGACAAAGATATGTAATCTTTCCTTAAAATCTGCCTCCATTCCTGAGGACTGGAAGGTAGCTAATGTCACTCCCATCTTTAAAAAGGGTTCCAGAGGAGATCCGGGAAATTACAGGCCAGTCAGTCTGACGTCGATACCGGGTAAATTGGTGGAAACCATTATTAAGGAAAGAATTAGTAGGCACATAGATGAACAAAACCTATTGAGGCAGACTCAGCACGGTTTCTGTAAGGGAAGATCTTGTCTCACTAACCTGTTAGTGTTCTTTGAGGGGGTGAACAAACATGTGGACAAGGGGGATCCAATAGATATTATTTACCTTGACTTCCAGAAAGCTTTTGATAAAGTTCCTCATCAAAGGCTCCTAAGTAAGCTCAAAAATCATGGGATAGAAGGACAAGTTCTTTTATGGATCAAAAACTGGCTAGTTCATAGAAAACAGAGAGTGAGTGTAGGTGGGCAATTTTCTCAGTGGAGGGTGGTAAGCAGTGGGGTACCGCAGGGATCAGTACTTGGTCCACTGCTTTTTAACTTGTTCATTAATGATTTGGAGATGGGAGTAAGCAGTGAAGTGGCTAAATTTGCGGATGATACAAAGTTGTTCAGGGTGGTGAAAACCAGTGAGGATTGTGAGGCACTCCAAAGGGATCTGTCAAGTATGGGCGAGTGGGTGTCAACATGGCAAATGGGGTTCAATGTGGCCAAGTGCAAGGTGATGCACATTGGAGCCAAAAATCCTAAATATAAATACACATTGATGGGGTCTGAACTGGCAGGGACTGAGCAAGAGAGAGATCTTGGAGTTGTAGTGGATAACTCACTGAAAATGTCGAGACAGTGTGTGACTGCAATAAAGAAGGCCAATGCTATGCTGGGGATTATTAGGAAGGGTATTGAAAACAGATCAGCCAATATAATAATGCCCCTATATAAATCAATGGTGCAACCTCATTTGGAATACTGTGTGCAGTTCTGGTCACCACACCTTAAAAAGGGTATTATAGCTTTGGAAAAAGAGCAGAAAAGGGCAACTCGAATGATAAAAGGGTTGGAACACTTTCCCTATGAGGAAAGGTTAAAGCGCTTAGGGCTCTTTATCTTGGAGAAATGACGACTGAGGGGAGACATGATTGAGGTTTATAAGATTATGCATGGGATAGAGCAGGTAGAGAAAGAGGTACTTTTCTCCCTTTCTCACAATACAAGAACTCGTGGGTACTCAATGAAATTGCTGAGCGGTTGGGTTAGAACGGATAAAAGGAAGTACTTCTTCACCCAAAGAGTGATTCACACATGGAATTCACTGCCACAGGAAGTGGTGGCGGCTACAAGCATGGACGGCTTCAAGAGGGAATTAGATAAGCATCTGGAGCAGAGGTCCATCAGTGGCTATTAGCCACAAGGTATAGATAGGGACTCTGGGGCAAGTGATGCTCTGTCATCTTGGTGCTTGGGGGGGTCAACAGTGGGAGGGCTTCTAATGTCCTGGCCCCACTGGTGAACCTGCTGATGGCACTGGTATTTCTGGCCACTGTGTGACACAGAGTGTTGGACTGGATGGGCCTTTGGCCTGATCCAACATTGGCGTCTCTTATGTTCTTATGAGAAGCTCAACTCTATTTCTATTTTGCGCCCTACCCAACAAATGAAGCTGCCCCAAATACTGCAGCATCTTGGTTGCCGTATGTTAGTCCTCCACCCCTCACTCCCCCAATCTTCCAGTTTCAGATTGTCGGGTCCCTGCCTCATAAGCGTTCCTGGAAGCGTGCTCCAACAAAATAACCTGGGCAGTGCAAATAACCTTCCTCAGAAGAGACCCAGGAGAGCACTGGTGTGACACTGTGGTTAGGGACTAGGACCTGAGATGACCGGATTCAAATCCCCACTCTGCTGTGGAAGCCTGCAGGGTGACCCTGGGCCCGTCACAACTCTCAAGCCCGACTCGCCTCACAAGGTGGTGGTGGTGGTGAGGAATAGGGGGAGGAGGGAAGAACAAAGTGGAAAGCTGTTTTGGGAAGGAAACTGCAACATGAATCAAGTCAGCATAAATAAATAAGCTTAGTTCCGGTTTAAATTATCACACCCACGCACACCCCAAAACCTATCTGAAACAAATTATTAAAAAATTATTATACCATTATACTTGGTAAGTCTAGTTAGGTCATTCATTTTAATGTCATTTTTTGTATATAGAATCTGTAGACCGTATCGAAGTGTTTGCTCATCTGAAGGCTCTCACATGTTTCTTCAACAGCTTTTGTCTCAGTTTGTTTCGCCATATACGGGTCACATTCTTGGGAAGCACATAACAGGTATGTCACAGATTGAAATTTAAGTAATGTTACAATTACCGTTACCCCTATTTCACTCAGTCACTCTCTTGTAGTTTAACTAGGGTTATCATATTTTGAAAAGCGAAAAAGAGGACATAATTTCTGACTGACTACTTCAAACAAGTGGTCACGACGACAAATCTCATTTTAAATCCCCCTACTATTTAAGCTGTGATAATTGCTACTAGCTAGGAGTATTCCTAACCTTCCAACCCCCAAAGGGGTAATTTCTATCAGTTTTTTAAAAATAGCCCAAAAGAGGATGGACACCCCCCCCAAAAAAAATCTGGTAAACCTATTTTAACCCTAAATTACTGCATTAGCTAGAGACCCGTACCAACTTTTGGAAAGCGGCTATGCTAGGGCAAAAACCACTGTTTACCAGCGTCTCAGAGATATTGAGCTACAAACATGCAATGCCGCACTTCCGCCTCCTTACAAATCTCTGAAATCCAAAACGCTAATGTCTGCTCCTTTATACCTAGCTAATATTTCCAACCCAAACCATAGATGGGCCTTTTCCAGAGCCAGATTTGACACTTTTCCATCTGCAGTTCTTTCCGGAAGATTTCAACGTATCCCCAGACATTTGAGATTATGCTCATGCCCTTGCGAGTTAATAGAGACCCTCCCCCATATATTATTTCATTGCTCCCACTATTCAGAAGAAAGAGCCCTTTTAATTATGCCTCTATTAAGGTCATTTAGGTTTCAAGGACAATTAGTATTTCAGTCCGAGGAACTTTTGCTGAAACACCTACTGGAGGACAAATCCACGGTTATTTCAAGGAATGTTGCTAAATTTCTTTTTATTGCAACTATAAAGCGCAAGAACTTCCTTAATACTCCTTGAGATGTTTTTTCTCTGTAATGCCTTACGACATTCTGGAGACTGTTTTTGACTGTATGTTGTTTGATGGGTCTTCGACCGTAATAAACTAAACTGCATTAGCTAGTGGCTTCTGGCACTCTGAATTCTGTTGAGCCATGGCTCTTGCTTTTTGAAGCAGGTATCTATATAACTCCATTTAAATGATGCCTTTTCTTTTCAAAGGGACTTTAATTGTTTGATCTGGGTTCAGTTAGGAACCAAACTTTTGAAATTGCCCTGTGAAATTATTTTTAGAGCACCTGTTTTGGTTCACAGGCTTATGTCCAAAGAAACAGAAGGAGATCTCAAAAGCGATTAAAAGAGCTCACTCTATTGGTAAGCATATTTTAAAAAGAACAAAAACAATTGTTTATAAAAGGCTTTATTTCTACAACTTCTGAATTATGTTTTTGCAGGATTTATGCCAGTTACATATAAGGACCCAAGATTCCTCAGTGACCCTAAAATATGTAATATTAAATATCCAGAATGAATTATGTTAATTGTACTTAATGTGTTTGTAATTGGTGCGTGCTTAATACCAGTAAAAAATAAATACACAGAAGTCTCAAAAGATGATCTCGTGGTTATTTCCTGCTAATGTAGCTGGCACAAAGCAAAAAAGTTTAAGGGTCATTGAAAACACACGCACAGTCAGCATTGACATGCATAAGAAAGTATTTCCTGTGTTACAATAGTAAACTATCACCATTTTTCAAGTCATATGAGCCTTCTTAAAATATACATCAGACATAAAAAAAACTGTTTGAGGAGCAGAAATACTGTCATGGCTAAATAAAAGTTAGTCCCACAAGTCTCTGTGGGATTGATTCCTGGATAAGTGTGCATAGGATTCCACTTTTAGTTGGAAATCTTGCTTCATCTATATTGTATGTTATTAATGGTTGATGGTTTGGGCAACCGCATTATTAGAGCTTTCTGGTGGCGATGGATATGACATCTATGCATCAAGGCCTCATCAGCTGGCTTTCAAAATGTTTAACAGCGTTTGATCTCCAGTACAACCTAACAGTAAGCACAATGTGTTAAAAGGTAAGGTGTACTGCTCATTGCATTCTTGTTCTGTGATACTCCCTGAGAAGGTGTATACAAATTCAGTTAAGAAAGCGCAGTCTGGGCTCATTTCCCCTCAAATACAGGGATAATGCTGGTTTAAGTGTTTTACCAGCAGCTTAATACTGTTTTTGTTTTGCTGCCCCCCTCCCCCACCTTCAAGAAGTTAGAAGTTTGGGGGACACAGTATGTTCATCAAGATCTTTCCTTACATTGTCCTCTGTTTCAGTATTACTTGTAGTGCATCTTTCCTGGTCACCGTTCTCTTGATCCGTTGGAAATAGCTTTTGATGCAGTTGCAGAGATCGAAGCCTTTTGAAGGGCTTTAGTCCAGTGGCACTCACGATAGACTTTCGCTTAACTGCTTGTCTTGTTTCAGCTTCAGGGAAACTACTTTCTTTCAGCATTAAGGTTAACTGGTCCATTACATTGATCTTGTGGTCAGTATTGCAGCAGTATTTTGAAATCTGTCTTCCTTTTAAGGTAACAATGCTTGTCTGCAGTCCAGATTTTGGGAAAAAGTTTTGCAACGCTTGACAAAGGAAAATATTCTCTTTTGTCTCAGCTGGGAGACTTCTAGTCTTACCTGAAACAGACAGGGGGGGGAAAGCTGTAGGAAGGGGGAGACTAGAAGCAAGACAATCTTTGTTCAATATCATAATGTGTACATTGTTTCATTGTGTACATTGAAAATCTCTTGCTAGTCAAGAGAACTATGTATGAGACACTCTGTAAAACTTATTCAGCAGCACAGGGAGACATGCTATAGGATTAAGGGGAAAAACCTATTGGTAGATGGCCCTTTCATAGAAACGAAGCCTAAAAATTGAACTGTAAAGGCCATATTAGATCAGAAAGGAATCCCTGAGATCAGAGGTCATTTCGGGGGGGAACGCGGGGGATCGCAGTTCCCCCAGGTGAGGTACGGGGGCGGGGCACATGACAAAGCCCCACCCCCTGCTTCCGGCCGCCCCGCTCCCAGCCCTCATTCAGCCAGGAGGAGGCAGGAGAACAGGGAGGGTAAGTTGCTTCCTCCCTGCCTCTCCCCACCCCTGCCTGCCTGGGGCCAGGGAGGGCCTTCACGGGGCTTCCTTGCACTCCCGCCGGCCTTGCAGGTCCACCGCCAGGCCCCTCATGGGGCTCAGCAGTGGAGCTGCAAGGCCGCCAGCGGCGGCCGGGACCATTGGGGGCGGGGTGTGTGGCCTTATGACACACTTCCGGTGATGTCAGGGGGTGTGGCCTTATGACACACTTCTGGTGATGTCAGGGGGTGTGGCATATGCTAATGAGTTATGCTAATGAGTTCCCCTAGCTCTTTTTCTATGAAACGACCCCTGCCTGAGATCATAGCAGATGGGTTCAGTAGGGCAATAGGCTCTGAACTTTGGAGACCTCATCTCCAAACAGGCACCTGCATCCATTTTTAAAATAAAAGGAATCTGCGTTTCAGAAGGATTTCCAAATTCTGCATGGAGAACATAACAAGTAAGCTGTTCTTTAAGGACAACAGCAACCCTTACTGATATTTTTATTGAAGAATCTCAGGCTCATGGAACAATATTAAAAAGTCCTGTTTTAACCCACACATGTAGCATCTATCACCTTCGGCTGTGTTTTCCATTAACGTTTGTCCCAATAGGTGTCTGTGTGTGGGTGTACTCTGAACTGCCCCACCTCTCTCATGCAAAGAATCACTAAGTCTTAAACCACATGTCTTCATCTGACAGTATGCAGTATCAGTTCGTTTACAAATGTTTCCAATTCTGCTGCATTTTACATGTTTAAAATAAAAGTAGGAAGAGTTCTCAGGGCCTTTTTCGAGTGCTACATAAAAGATGTGGCTAAATGAGGGGATTTGGACTGAGGCCAAGGCACTGGGTGCGGAGTGTTGACCCTTCCCATGAATACATTAAGGTTGCTTGTTGTCGTCCGGCCCCCATCCCCCCCCCACATCAACACTAATTATGGGGAGGGGGCAATAACTATGCGGGTTACCTGTGTGATGCCCTGGACGCAGCTACAGTATTGAATACACTTTACATTTAAAATCACATAATTTTTTTAAAAATTCACACACTTCCAAAACAGCGGTTGTATCAGAAGAAAGTTTGAGTCCAGTGGCACCTTTAAGACCAACAAAGTTTTATTCAAGGTATGAGCTTTCATGTGCAAGCAAACTTCCTCAGATACAGTGTTTGCATACGAAAGCTTATACCTTTAATTAAACTTCGTTGGTCTTAAAGGTGCCACTGGACTCAAACTTTGTTTTGCTGCTTCAGACCAATGAGCATCTGGTAATGCAGGCTCTCACTTTCCCACCATGCTACATTTGTACATCTTTGAGCAGGTTCCTCCAGATGATTAGGAGTGAAAGTCAGAGAAGAGTGATGATTTACTATATACCTGCAGCTTCTATCCGTTCTTTTTTCCTTCTTATTTCTTGTTTCAGTTTATCCACTTCTGCCAGTAGACTCTCTACTGATCTTTCACCATCCACTACTTTACTGCACAAATCCTAGAAGAGAAAAACGGGACAGTTATAGAATTATTCGTTCGTATTAGCACCTGACGATATCCCTATGGAACTTTCTGTAATTTAAACTCCTGAAGTAGAAGATCACAGTTGCTCACAAAACAACTGTGTCTCGACAGTGTTAAGTCTAGTCTAAAACCCTGCCTGTGAGTTCGCCTCCAAGTTCCCAAGTGCCACCAAAAATGCCAGAAGCAGAAGAAGCGTGGCCATTCAGTTAACATGTACTAATTCATATAATGCATAAGTAGCAAATGGAATTCATAAGATGTAGCGATGGCCACTTTGCTTTTAAAAGGAGATTAAGCAAAATTAATGAAGGATGAGCACAAGGTACACCAGATACAACACAAGGTGGTTGCTGTCTCTGTTCCCTGTTGGCAGACAATTTGGAGGCTTCTTGTTTGCCGCTCTGAGAAATGGGGTGCATAACGACATTTTATATGTTACTGTTGGATTAACAAACCTCCTCAATGAGAGTGGTATGGCTGTTCCCTCCCAGATTAGAAAGAATGAGGAATTTCAGACAGACGATATAATCCGGAAGAGGAACGGTTCCCAAACAGTTTCTGGTCTGTCATTTCAGACAGAACCGTTTTAGAACCGGTTCCCTACCGGAATATATTTGTAATTTCACATACAAACGCTTCTGTCCCGTTCAGGAAACGGGGCTGAAGTGTTTTACCTGTCAACCGCTTCCAAGTAGTCTTCAGTTCCTCTCCCGGTTCCGATGCGCTTTCCCTCGCCGTTTTTTGCCCACGCAGGCGATCTCTGGCTTTTTTTTTTTTAAAAAAGTTTGCTTTATAGCGTTATAGCGCTATAACACTATAACGGAACAGCAATATATCAACGCCATTGGAATGCCTGGAGTGTTTTTATAGTGCTATAGCGCTATGAAGCAAACATTTAAAAAAAAGATTATTTTGCCAATCAGAAGCCTTGCTGGGTAAAAGCCCCACCTGGCCCTGCCCACTTAGCAGACACCAGAAAAGTGCTAGTGGGCATCACGGCGAAAATGGGCACCACGTTGGGGACCCCTGGCCTAAACCAATACGACTGCAGAATAACTATGCAGATGGCAACCCTTTCAAATCTACCTACGGTTCTATTTCTAAGAGGCATAACGTTGCAGCTGAACTGGAACTGTTGATAGAATTGGCTTTTCCTTTGTTTCTGACCACACTGATTTATTCAGACTTCACGTTTCTTGTTAAAAGCTACACAAGAAAATGTTTAAACTTACCTTCAGTTCCTCCTGCAAAGTAGCATACATGTCATTAATCTTACGAACCTCTTTAAGAGACCCATCTTCATTAAAAAATTCTGACCTTTTGGTACAAAAAGAAAACCTAGAATGTACTGTTCACATCTGACATTTACAATAAAGTGGATCTTACCCCACATAGAAATATTTTGACTTAACAGCATTTTAAAACATGGACACTTCAAAACACAATTGCCACCGAATCAATAGGAACGCATAGTAGAATGGGAGCAATTGTGTTCACTAGTTAAACTATTAGTGAAGAAAATGTTATATCAGATTACAGGCACTGAAATGTTTAGCTACTTTTGAACAGTGCAGAATTGTAGGCTATTTCTATATGCAATGTCCTGAAGATTTTTTTGAACCATTGTTTAGGATTCTGAATGAGCTGTGCTTTCCCTGATCTACAGCTAATGCGTAGCTTATATGGAAACCCCTGGAAACAACATGCAAAATATAAAAACATTCTGTTCTTACCTGTGTTTTGCAATCCCTCGACAAAAGCCAGAAGAAATACAAGAACCAGATACTGTTCGGTAGCCTTGCTGTTCTGCCATTCCCAGATTGGCAACAACAAGAGGAACTTTCTGGAGAAGACTTCGGGAAAAGAGGAAGAGGATATAAATAAATATGGGAAACTTTTACACTGTGGACCAAAAGGGTGCATCACCTAAACGTTTCTTGTCAAAATGCATAATAGAATGCTGTTCTTTCATTAAATTTTAATACAATTGTAGGATATGCGCTTCTCAGGGACAAAATAAGAAAAAGAAAAAAGAGGATCTTTTAAAGAAATTCTGCTTCTACAGGAACTAGCTGCAAAAACCAAAAGCAAAATACTTCCTACGGTCTTCCAGCAGCAGCTTTCTTGAAAGACCAGG